TAGGATCGCGATTACTTTGATACTTGGCAATTAGGTGCAATAATTGGTAATGACGGGATATATATTTGCCACCGGTCTGGCCCGATTTAGCTGCGATTTGATGATGGCTATAATTTAAAGCACACAGTCATTGGGCTGGCGCGGAACGTTTATGAAAATTGCACATTAAATTTTTGTTTGTGGCCCAATAGTCTGTCAATTGCGGGTGTTATAGTTCCCGTTCTGGCTGTTGTTAACGTTAAATGTTAACGCTGTTGTTATTGCTGTTGTTGTTGGTTTATTATTTTAACACTTTCGTGAAAGAGCACGCCGACGGTTGGCCATGGGCTAAAGAGCCAGCTTGGGATGTGACTGCGAGGTGCGGAGCGTCATCGGCCGAGCGCTGAACACTGAACTGAATGGTGTGCGAGTTGTCCACTGTCTGTGAATCGCTGTTAGTTTCCAGGAATCGCAATCGCATGGCACACTCGCACACCCCACACACTCGTTCACTCACAACGACAACGACGCCGACGCCAAGAGTCACCCAGTCTCAAACCCAAACCAAAAGCGATGCCAATAGGGCTCTCTATGGACGTACCTCTATGGCATACGCATACTATGTACTGCACCTAGAGAAAATGAGTACATGTTTATCCTTAAATAAAATTTAATATTTAAAACAATAAGCAGTCTTACACTAAATCTAAAATTTGTGTGCAACTGTAATAGTTTCTCTTGAACTCAATCCAACGTTCGTAATCCTTATTCAAACCTTTTCCTTATAAGATTTTCCCAATCCAAATTGCTTCTTTGAGTGTACAGGAAAATCGGCAACAACGGCGACCGTGACGAACTCAGAGGGGTTGGGGGCCTGGGGAAAACTCCGCCTTCGGTTCTCGGTCTTGGTCTCGGTCTCGGGATCATAAATAGTAGATAAACAAATAAATAAAGCGGCGCGGGGGGAATGAGATATATGACGGGCATATATCTTCCATATCGAACCGCACCCGGACACACGCACCCCCAAAAAAGAATTCGATATTCTTCGATTTCGGGTCTTTTTGTGGGGGTTGCACTCCCGTTCCAGATACATAAATTCGCCAGCGACAGGAATCAACCACCGACCGTTGACGCCCTCGTATCCGCCACATGTATCCGTCGTCCGTATCAGTGTATTTGTATCTGTATCTGCGCAGTGCGCCATTCAAGACAGGGGGCAGTACCAGTCACTTGCTAAAGATACAGTCAAAGAAATCAGATACAAAAGTATTAGAAGATAGAATTCAAATTTTAGTGACTGTATTTACATATTACATTTTTTGGTTTGTTTATAAAAGTTCTGGATCTTTGTCATTTCTACAAAACATTTTAAATTATTTTTAATAGTTAATCATATTTTCCAGGTATTTCTCTGAGTGTCCAGTTACGGATACGCTCAAGAAGCCGCTTCGTGCCACGTCAAAAATCAATCGCCATCGGCGGATGCATTTTATCGTGCGCAGACTCCGTTTTATGAAGACCAACGATTTTAGGGTGGACGGCCACATATATCTATATATCTTATTCTTATTTACTTTCCCAGCACTTTTAGGTATAATAATGCGGAGCATTAATTCGCAAATGTTGTCCAGATAAAGATACGACCTGCCGAATTGAGTTTGACCCTCAATGAAAATGAAAGTCCTCAACATGAAAGGGAATAATAATTGCAAAGAGCTGAAGGACTTTGCCCTCAACGGCAAATTGCATTAAAGTTGTCAGCATTTGGTCCTTATATATAAAATAGAATACAGTTAAGTTTAATCAGGAATTTTTACGTTTTTATTAAACATTTATTTACAAATCCCTTTGATATGCTCTTTATTTACAAAACACCAAAGTGGTTTTTTATTGAAAACACAAAGTCAAGGATTGTTTACCTCCTAAAAAGTACAAACTTTGGTAAACTATAGTGTCAAATTGATACAAGTTTGTAAAATATTTTAAATGAATTAAAATTATTTCGATTAATAATATAAATTGGGAACAGTACTTTAATAGTTACAAAATCCACATCTCTTAGTTTATTGTTTTTAAAAATCCTGTTGTAAATATAAAACTGAAAGTAAGTTCCCTAATAAAATCATCTGCCTACCGATTTCCTAAATTCTCGGCCGTTATGAGCATAGAAATGCATGTGTGAATGGAAGGGCCAACAAAGGTAAGTTCTCTGGTAAATCCCGCACAGAAAACGGCCACTTTTCCAAGCCGTTATACGGGGGACTGGGAAAGGGGCCAGGGGATGTGAGATATGGGATGCGGGGAAAGCGCCACGGTCCAAAGAGCCGACGCGACGCCTGCCTGGCCAGGTGTTTACCTGCGAAATGGAATGTGTTGCAAGCTTTGTGCTGGCACTTCCTTGAGACCGACCCGAGTCCGAGTCGCTAAGTGGCTGCCCAAACAACGCGTGCTAGTGTCGTACGACTAATCCAAATTGTTAAAATCTCCTCCACACCCAGCAATTCTATGCGCAGGAGAACAACTACGCGAAAATCTGGTAAGATTACAGGTACTATTTTTCAGTTTTTGTTAAAGTGTGAAGGTGTTTCCCATCCTGATGTTTTGAGATACATTATCAAGCTAATAATTATTTTTTTAAGATATTTCATTATTATTTTATGTATATTTTCATGTGAATGGTATCCATCTCAATTTAACAAATATTAATTATTATTATTACTTTTTTAATACCCACAAAATGTATTCCATGAATTAGATTTATAATTTTTGGTTACTTTAAAGACCTGACTGGGTCTAATTCCTGTAGGAATCGTTTGGCAATTGGCCAAAACTCCAAGCTGAACCAATCAGTCACGCTCTTGTTTTACCTCGAGTCAAATATTTTGACGGTTCGTCAAAGAAGTGACAAGACAAACCGACACAGACACCGACACCGGAACCGATAACGCAGTGCCCCAGAATTTTAGGTTTCGGCTTTCGGTTGACTCTATTTCTTCTTAAGTGCCGACCGTGCTAAAGGGGAAATCACACATTTTGGCCCGATTTGCATTTGCTTGAGACTCTCCAGAGTCGAGGCTCCGTTGGCCAACTGGTGATTTACGATCCTAAATCCAAAGGTATCTACAGCAAAGAAAACTCGAACCAAAACATTGAAAAAATGTTTTTAGTTTCTGTCTGAAGTCGAAGTGCGAAGTTGATCCCGAAAGTAGCTACTGTTTGGTGCTCTTCAATGGTTTTATTTATTTAAATTGGAAATGTTAAAGTTATTAATAAAACGAGCAAGAAAACAACGTTTAGTTTAGTTTAAAAGTTATTAACGCAATAAATTTAAAAAAAAAACCAAAGACACAAACAAAAGCTGCCACCAAGTGAATAAATAATGAATCAATCACCCATAAAGTAAATGTTAAGGATAATTTTATTTATCATTTACACCTAAATGATTTACAACAATAATTAATCGAATTAATATTAGCCGTGTAAACATTAACAAAAATGTAAGCTCATGTCTTTCAAGTTTAGCCAAAACGTTTAAAACTTTAAATATTTGTTAATTATAAATAACTTTAAATATTGAATACTTTCTATCTGAAATCGAGGTACAAAATGTTTTGGAAAGTAACTACTATTACTTAAGCGACATTTCGTGTTACTTAAAGAAAAATAAGGACAAATAGGAAATGAATTTGTACTTCCTAATGGCTAATTTGTTGTGTGTTTTCAAGAATACTAGCAGATAAAATCTTTTTTAATAAAAATCATTAATATTTGAAAATTTTCTTGAATCGCAGTTTATAATGCTTTGAAAAAACAAGTTTAAAAAATATTTGAAAAAACACATCTTGAAAAACCATTGAATCTTCCTAAGAGCCCATGAAATACCAATAACCTGTACTCTTCGGATTAATCGTAACCAAAAAAAGTAAGTTTTATGCAAAGACTGGTTGTAGTTGCTATTTGAAATCGAATGGCGAAATTGTTACCGAAAGTAGCTACTGTTTTTCATCCTCTATAAGGCGACGGCTCCCCCGCATCAAAATGGAATTAAAGATGGCCATTGCCGGGAAATAACCGTTGGCTTGGCACCGGACGTCTTGATACTTATGGCGAGAAAATGGAAAATTCGATGTTGCCATTAACATTTATTGCTACTTTGGGAAAACTCGATTCCACCACACCACCACGGCAGAACGGAAGAACGGCACACCGAAGCACATTGCATTGCCATTGCACAGCCGCCATTTTATGAGGCGCGCCTGGGCACTTATGGCATCATCAGGATGCGAAGGAGGGGATGGATATGGACCCTGGGAGGATGAAGGATGTAGGGTGGAGGTTGCAGGAGAGCTGGAAAGCTGGAGAGCTGGCAGCCCTCGTAAAACGGATTTTTCGCTTAGTCAGGATGCGTGCAGCAGTTTTATGGGCCGTCCTGGCACTCGGAAAATGTATACAGTTCAGGGAAGGCAATTTGTCCTTTTTTCGGATAGATTTGGCCTGGCTTGGAATGATTTCTCATTGAACTAGTTGGATTTTGTGGGATATCTATATTTCATTATTCATTTTTGATATTTCTTGGTGCTATGAGAATGTCCTAAGCATTGTAAGCATTTATCTTTCAATAAATGTTATTATTTTGAATTAACTTCACTTGGTTTAGTGGAACTTTATTTACTTTATTCATCTACAAAAAGAAACAATATTTGAAGATAATACAGAACGAGACATATCCTTAACGATATTAAAAAAAGATTAAATGCTTGTAAGGCTTTAAGAATCTGTTATAATAATATTTAGGTTTAAAAACAATCCAGAAATGTGGTCTCCTTATCCTTGCTCCTAGGAATAGGTCGCCGCCGGCAGCACTGTTACAGTTTTCCATTTACAACCTTCGCGCTCCACTGCGCCTGCAGCCTCCGCTGGCCGCCATAAAATATCGAAATGTTCGCAGCCATAAAAGTTTATGAGTGCGCCGGCACCCAAATTGGGATTGGGCAGGCTCTCCGATCCAGGGACCAGGGGTGAAAGTTGTCACAACTAGCCAGTTGTCGTTGCCAGCTGCTGACAAGCTCCCCGGAAATGGATAAGCTTGTGGTCTTTGGAGCCATTACCTTGTTTTGGCTGCTCTTCGCCGTCGTCGGGTACCTAATCTCCTGCCGGTACGAGGAGCGCGGCGTGATCCGTTGCTGTACCATCCTGACCGCCGTCTGCTGCTACATGGCCTGGCTGGTCACATTTCTGATGCAGATGAACCCGATGATTGGTCCGCGGGCCAGCCAGAAGATCATCTTCGGCATGATGAGCTACTGGCCCAACTCTTACATCCATGATGACCCAGACCCGTGATGTCTTAGCGAAGTTGGATTATATAAGTTTACATTTTAAGCCCCGATTGGAACCATAATTCACATGGAAAACCTATATTAAAATTTGTATTTCGCTGTAGATAAATTTTAAAAACAAATTTATATATTTTATTAAATATATAAAAAACAATAAAAACATTCTTATTAGAGCCTTGGCACCAGGCAGCGCTCCAGTTTATCTACGAACGCACACACCTGACAGAAATCTGGAACCTTCTGCCGGCACACCTGTACAATGTCCACTTCGCTGTCTACTCCCAGGGATTTGGCGACATTAGCGCCGTAGGTGAGCGTACTCCTTGGCGACTCCTTGTTCAGGAAACGTTCTTCAATCAAATCCTTGTGATATGAGGCAATGAGAGCTACCAGGGCACGGCCACTCCGCCAGGACTCGCTGAACTCGTACATGGGAAGGCCATATTTCCTCGTTCTTTCCTGACACCAGCGGAGCAGTCGCAGGCGAGTGTTACCAAAGGTTTTTCCCACCGCAAAGAAGTTGTTTGCTGATAATTTTTTCTTAATGCTAGTATTCCGGTTCCTCTGTGGTCTGGTCAATGGAAGTTGGACATTATTTGGAGAAGATGTTTCCGCGGAAATCTGACTCTGCAGAGTCACCTTGCTTGAATTCAACTTCTGGGTCAGTGGGTTGTCTATCTGCCGACTTTTTATATTCTTTATATACGAATTTGTTTTCTTAATTGAGAAATCGAAAGATGAGCTCCCCTTTAACATGGGATTGTCTGTCTGAGCCCATGCCTGCTGGTCTTGCGAACTTTTGGATGTCAAACGGGCTTTTATTTTATCATTTTCCGGGTGCAGCACGTCCTTCAATAAGAATCCGGGAGAAGTGAAGCTAGTACGAATCAAGGGCTTGTCTTCCTGGACAGACAAAAACGGCAGGTCTTTGCGACATGTCCTCAATAAACCAATATGGTTTTGAATGGAACCTGAACACGCCATATTGGATTCCAGTTCCTTCAAGACGGGCACGTCTCTTAGGCTCTCGATGCACGAAGATGAAAAGCTCGTCTCAATTATACGATCGTCTGTTTGGTTCAACAAAATCTGGAAGTCTTGCGAACTTTCGGTAGTCAAACTCGTTTGCGTCTGATCATCAAATTTAAAATCTGAAGAGGTGGAGCTGGTTTGAAGAACGGGCTGTTCTTTCTGAACCCACAAAACTTGGAGGTCTTGACGATTCTCCATCTTTAAACTTGGCTGCCATTTAATGTTCTGATTGGAGCCTACCATTGATACATTGGATTTTAGTTCCGACTGGTCCTTTAATTTAAAATCTGAAGAATTACGCTTTATCTGAATCCTAGGCTGTTCTTTCTGGTCACACAAAACCTGGAGGTCTTGGCTCTCCGTCCTCAGGCTTCTTTGGCTTTTTACTTTCTGTTGAGAGTCTACTATTTCCGCATTGGATTCCAGTTCCGTTTGGTCCTTTAATATAAAATCTGAAGCATTGCACTTTGTCTTAATCCTAGACTGTTCTTTCTGGATCGATAAATCCTGTAGGTCTTGACTCTGAGACCTCAGGCGAGTTTGGCCTTTTATGTTCTGTTGAGAGTCTACTCTTTTTTCATTGGATTTCAGTTCCGACTGGTCCTTGAATATACAATTTGAAGAATTGAACTTGGTTTTTTCTCTCTGGACCCACAAAACCTGAAGGTCTTGGCCTTCCGTCCTCATGCTTGTTTGGCTTTTTACTTTCTGTTGAGAGTCTACTCTTTCTACATTGGATTTCAGTTCCGACTGGTCTTTCAATAAAGAATCTGAAGAATTGTACTTTGTCTTTTCTTTCTGGGCCCACAATACCTGGAGATCTTTGGTCTCTGTCCTTAGGCTTGTTTTGTCTTTTATGTTCTCTCGAGAGTCTACTATTTCCACATTGGATTCTAGTTCCGAATGGTCCTTGAATATAAGATCTGAAGAATTACTCTTTGTCGGTTCTTTCTGGACAAAGAAATCCTTGAGGTCTTGACTCTCCGTCTTCAGGCTTGTTTGGCCTTTTATGTTTTGATAGGAGTCTACTATTTCTATATTGGATTCCTTTTCCGACTGGTCCTTTAAAATAAAATCAGAGAGGGTGGCACTTGTTTGAGCTAGCAGGTATGGCTGACGCTCGGTCGATTTCGCTTTGCTTATATCTTCCCCCGACTGCGGCAGGTGCTCCAGCCGTATCTCCTCCGGCCTGCAATCGGGAATCTGGGACGGACTAAGATGGCTATTCTTGAGATTGGGCGAATGAATGTCCTTGGCATCGCCTCTATCCCTTCTTGAGACATCGAGCTCCGGCTGTGATCCTTTTTGGGAAACTTTGAGCTCCTCCTTCTGCTCCTTGATTTTCTGGGGTTCGACCGCGGATTCCAAGTGCTCGGAGCTTAGTTTATTCTCCAAATCACCATCTATTTTGCAACCCCTTTTAGAGGCCTGTATAGCCGAGGCAGTCAGTTTCTTGAAACGCGTTAGGTTTTGGTGTATCACTTCTTTCAGTTCCTTTCGTATCTCGTTTTGGGAATCCGGATCCCCTGAATTCTGTTTGTTTTGGGATTCTTTGATGATGTCGTCGAACTGGCCTATAACGACATCCATGACCTGAAGGAAGCAGCGCTGCGCCTCTGCAGGTACCTTGCCTCCCTCAGCATGGCACGGCACACTTCTATAAAGAAACCCCATCAAGGTGCGACCTGTGGATAGCAGAGTTCTCTTAATAAGTATCTGTGGCCATTTCCTGGGTAGACTTACATTCCGCCAGGACTTTCGAAGTGCGACTTGTGAACAGTTCGCTGTAATGCCCAGTTTCAACGATGGAATTTCGGAGATCTTTCATCAACTTTACGGTTTTGCCCATACAGGCTCTCATGTGCAGCTCCTCTGGTTCGCTGTCATTCTCCAGACTGGCCACTGTACTCTTAATTTCCGCCAAAAGAGCCTCCATCATGGTGATTATAGCTAAACATATATTTCTTACTTTAATTTAAAACAAGAATTTTTGGAAGAGCTGCTCTTTGCAGTTATATTTCGGACAATATTTACAATTTTGACAAAAAACCCATAACCAAAAAAACCTAAATTATCCAAAAAAATTATCGCTGAAAAACAATAAAGTAAGAAACATACATTTAATATTTTATTTATATTTATTTAAACCATTATTCTATATAGAGCTCCTCTGCGTAGGCCAGTAATTCTAGGTTGCCACAGTGCCGAAAACACTTGACCTGAAGCGCCATCTATATATGTTTTTATAGCAAGCAGCTTGTGTTTGTGAGCAAACTAACGGTATTTTAAATTCATTGAATCAAAAAGAAAATTCTTCTATTTAATGTTTATATGTTTAATTTAAAATGGCAGATTAAACTAATATTTAAATTTAAATTTTCATTTCATTTTAAATTTTTGTATTTATTATTTATTTTTTTCTAAATAATATCAAATTAACAGAACGAGAATAACAGGATACATGAAATACTGATTAATATCTGAAATTAAAGAAAATAATAATACAATAGGAATAATTTAATGGTTAACACACTCGCTCACCTGTAGTAATTGGCTTTGAAAGGCCCGGCCTTGTTTAAGCCCATGAACTTGGCCTGCTCGTCCGTAAGCTCCGTAAGATGAGCATCGAAGGTGGCCAAGTGTAAGCTGGCGACGTACTCATCTGAAATCAAGAGGAAGTGGGAGAAAATGCTATTTAAGGATACTCCAAACCACAAAGAAAAATCTATCAATTAGGCGCAAAATCATTGCCTACTTTTCGGGGCGAACATATTGCTATTTATGTTTATAACTCACCCATTTTCTTTGGCAACAGATATACATCCGATTTATACCTTCCCGGTGCCGAGAACAGCTCGATCAGAGCCAGCGCCTGGGTTGAGGAAGCCACGGAGACCACGAACGAGGAAATCGTTGAACAGGAGAGATTCACCAGCCTACCCTCGGCCAGCAGGATGATCATCCTGCCATCTGGCCAGATGATGTGGTCCACCTGGGAACGAACTCTTTCCCACGTCAACTCAGGCGTATGCAGGCCATTCTGAAATTGAGAGAGAACTATAAGAAGGAAAGTCCCGGAAGGTTAATCCAACTGTTCCTACCACATCGATCTCTGAGCAGGAATGCCCCATATTGCAGAGGATGCAGCCGTTCTTCATGCGATTCATATGGTCCCTGGTAATCACATTTTTGTTCCCCGTTGCCGTAACCACCACATCTACGCTCCGTATAACCTCGCTGAGCCGTACCACCCTGAAGCCATCCATGGCCGCCTGCAGGGCACAAATGGGATCCACCTCCGTGATGTAGACTATGCATCCCTGACCTTTGAGGGACTGGGCACAGCCCTTACCCACATCTCCGTAGCCACAGATCACCACCTGCTTGCCGCCAAACATGATGTCAGTAGTTCGCTTGAGGCTGTCCAAAATGGAGTCCCGGCACGTGTAGAAGGTATCAAACTTGTTTTTGGTCACCGAGTCGTTGACATTGATGGCGGGAACTGTGAGCTTTCCGCCCTTCGAGAGCATGTACAGACGGTGGACACCGGTCACGCTCTCCTCGACAATGCCTCGAATGGCCTTGAAGCAGTCGGGATACTTTTTCAGCATCAAATGGGTGGCATCGCCGCCATCGTCTAGAATCAGATTTGGCTGCCAGCCATCAGAGTGTATGCACCTGTCCAGGCACCACCAGAACTCCTCCTCCGTCTCGCCGCGCCAGGCAAAGATCGGGATGCCCGCCTCGGCCAGGGCGGCAGCCACGGCATTCTGCGTGGAATAGATGTTACAGGCTGCCCATCGCACGGTGGCACCTAACTGTATCAAGGTTTCTATGAGCACCGCCGACTGAGCATTCACGTGGGTGCAACCCACTATATGGGCGCCCTTCAGAGGCTTCTCATCCTTGGCCCGCTTTCGGAGCATCATAATGCCCGGCATCTCGGACTCTGCAATCTCGATTTCGCGCCTTCCAAAGGCGCTCTTGGAGATGCTCTTTACGCAAAAGTCGGTCCCGCCGGCGGAGTTGCGTTGCTGGTTGTCCTTCGGCGATATCTCGTCCTCATCGGAGCTTCCGGTGAAGCAGGCTGTTGATAGAGAAATCAAATTGATTTTTAATTTAACAACCTGGTAAAACTTTTCTAGTAAAAGGTAGATCCTAAGAGAAAGTTTAATCTAGATCTAAAATCATACTACTTACTGGAACTGAAGGAGCAGGTGGAGACATCAGAAAACCGGCGAGCCTCTATGCTGGGCTTCTTTACGGCAGTCTGTAAGAGGAAAAAACAATTTATTTAAGTAAGATAAAATATATTTGTAGGCACGAAAGTGATCTGCTTTATCTTATTTAAGCAAACATTTGTTAACTGAATTTTAAACAGAAAATGAGCTCACTTACAGATTTAACACAATGATTGAATTTAAAAAGGCAAAATACTATTATTTATGCGTGTAAAAATTTGCTATTAGTGCAGGTTTTAGCAAATTTTAGCAAATACATGTAGGGGATGGTATCTAATTTTTTTATTCGATCTTTAATCTTTACCATCTAATCAGAGCTAATAATAGCAATTCACATTCCCATAATTCTGTTTCACTTTCCAATTAACATAGTAACTCCATTGGATTAATGGATTTCGCACTGCATATAAAGCAATATATAGTATAGTAGGAACTGATCAGATGAGAAATTCATCATTTATGGGTGCGAGATCTGTGCGATTTCCAGCGAAATCTAGATTTCAATGCAAAGATAAGCCAAGTGGAAAAAGTTGTCTACTAATTGGCGTCGTTTAGCATATCGGCGATAATTCGTCGCACCAATTGATTCAGGGAGATATACTTTTATACGTTATGAAAATGCGAATCTAGGGATCCAATCCAGAGTGTATGTAAACACAGGCAGAGAATTAATGAAATCTACAATTGTATACTTTGTGCATTTGCGTCTATCGTTGCTTACATTTCCAAGACCAGGCCACATGGAATAAACATGCCCTTGTATCCACAACATTAATATATGTATATCTCAGCGATCTTAATGAGCACATACTATATGTATACGCCATGGAACTGGAGCAATCTTTCTGTTACAATTTGAAACTATGCTAAGCTAATATATGTAAGATTTATGGGGGCAATGTGGCAGAAGATATTGGTGTATCTTAATGCATTTAATAATAAATGAAATCTTTATAACCTTTTAGAATCACCTAATTAAATCAGTTTTACTGGATTTGTCATGCATTCACTTTCACGGAGGGTATTCAAAGCTTCGAGGTGATTGTCTCGCCTTTATTTGTTGTTCACAAAGCGTCTCTGGATTTTTTTTTGTTTGTTTGTCAAGTTTGTCACGTGCTGTTTTCGGATTAATCGCCAAGTTCAGCGATCGAAACGCGTTTTTGCCCAGCGCACCTCATGAATATTCAGTACAATATTCCGATTGTTAGTTACTTAAGTGGGTTATTAATTACCTTATCGGCCAAACTCAAGTCGGCAAACGTAGTCTCTGGCATCTTGGACATCTTGAAGGCACTAATAATAAACAAAGCAATCAAATTAAAAACCAACAATTGAAATGAAAACAAACAAAAGTGTTGTCAGTGCCAGAAATTATTCAAAGGCGAGAGAACGACCTTCGGGGACTTACATTTAGATCGATCCAAAACAGGTTCTCGACTATGTTGGGTTTTATTTCGGTGTTTTGTTTTTATGTCAAGTCAATTTCCTACGTTCTGTGCACCCCGGAGACCAGCTCTAATCGGCTAGTGCAATATCGGTTCAGAAGTAGCTCCTATAGTTCCGCGGAGCAGGAGCTGGCACAACGTCAGTTCTGGCGGAGATCAGGCGGCTGACTAGCGGCCAGCGTCGCGAATTCAAACGAGATCGCCTCTCGATCTCGTTAAGATCTCCTCTCCGGCTGCTTTGTTAGTTTTTATTTCTATATCTGTGGCGATCAGAGATCGGAGACCGGTGATCGGTGATTGGTATTGGAAGCGGAATCGAAGATCTCCGGAGCAGACGACCGCTCGCGACTGGGGCAAACAACAAACTGACTCACGGGCCAGGGTTTATGAGGCAGCAGGCCGATCGTATAGGAATAAAGAAATACGGGCAAGTAAAAAACGAAAACAGAGACCCAGAGAACCGAAAACTAAACTGGAACCGAAAACACAACAAGACCACGGAGCGAGTTCAAATAAAAGATCGCCACATTTACTAGAATCTTATCAAGCCGCGAGCTCTTATCGCCTGGGTTCACTCTCTCTCATCCCCCCCAGAACACCACACTTATCATGATCCAACTTCACTCTGCTCCTACGACTATATAGCGTATAATGTCAGATTACGGAAATCAATTCGGACTCTGACGTAGACGTGGGCATCCATCGCGGATGAGTGGAATTCATAAATGCAGAAATTTTAAAGTGGGCCTGCCACTGAAAATAATCTTAAGGTTTAATAATTAAGGAAATTGTGTCACTATTCCTATTTTGTTTGATATATCTTATCTATGTAATTTTACTAACGCTTTATCGCTATGCCATATAAGTTATAGGACTATTGTCAGTCATTTCTTGTCTGAATTGCAATGCGATTTCACTAAAAAATAGTTCTAAAAAAAGATCAGTTGACATTCTGTTATTAAATGTGTATATATATATTTTTTATAGCCTTTTTATATTCTTTTGTTTTAGGAATTTATAACTTTAATTAGGTTTTTAAACCAAGAATTATATGGAACTAATTAAAACTTAGAAGCCATTATCGTTATCAGTTTTTATATATTAAAGGTTGAAAAATAATATGAACTCAAAATGTTTAAAAAACAGCTAGATTTTAATATAAAAACTAATATATTATATTAGGTTTAAAGCTTAAACATTCATTTGCATTAATTAAATTCCATAAAAAACCTAAGTTGAAGCTTTTATTTACATATTAAATTCCTACTAAACTTAATTAGAATCACACCATATCCCAAGCTGATTCTAATTAGTTTTCCTTATAGTTAGTCCTTTTAGTCATTCCAGCTCAGGGGTTGGTCGTTAACTTTATTCTTACTCATTCTAACGTGCCATTCGGCCATTTTTCGCCAACGTTACCCAATGATTTGATTGCAGACTATTTTATGGGATTTTCGTACGCTTTTAGCGTGGCCATAAAAACGGAAGAATTTTAATCAAGGCACGGCCAGCGAAACAGAAATTACTACATCATCCCTCATCCTGTGCAGGGGTTGCTGGGGCTGGGTGTCGTTGCGGGGGATGATTGTTACCTTGAGTTGGCCCAGAGCCAAGGGTTAAAGGATTCATTGTGTGCATCCGAGGGTCTAATTGGTCACTTTCAGTTCCAAGTAATATCTCGTCAAGAAGTGCGTGGTAAACATTTATGAGGCCGGCTTCTGTTCAAATTCTCGTGATCGTGACCTTATTGCCTTCGGTTCAATATCAAAAAACTGGGTTTTTTTTACAGGCAAGTATTTCGTTTATTCCATAAACTACCTTTGTGATCCTTCGATGGAGCATTTACCAAGCGAATATACTTATGAGAATTTACACATCCTAAAATACAATCCAATATGTCAAAGTCACATTCGCCAGGCTATTGCACCGCGAGTTTTTTAAACTCTATTGCTTTTTTTTTTTTAACCACACAGTCTATTTACATACATACGTACTATTTACAATTAGTTAAATCTACGCTTGTTTATGTACAAGAGTCTACTTAATACCGTCAAGGCTGTACCTATATACAAGAAGCTAGTGCCTTTGCCATTGATCCCTCAGAGCGATCCCACCCTCTCCATGAGATACCAGGGCAGGAAGACGGAGGCGGCCACCACGGCCACACAGGTGGCACACAAGGCTACTGTCGCCGAGAGGCTGGTGATGGAGAAGTGGTCCTCCTTTTCGTCCAGCTCCTCGTGCGGATGCTTCTCGAACTCTAGAACCTCGACGTCAAAACGGAAACGGACCTTTGACTCCGGCGAATCCTTGCGCCACACCAAATGGCCAGAGGACTCGCGACGCTCCAAGCTCCATTTGGGATCGTGAACTGCAAGATAGATCAATAAAAAATAATTAGATAAGCTATTTCAAAAATGTATTACAACAAAAAGATATATGTAATTATTATTATTCAACTTAAAACTTTCAATCTGCACTTAAATAATATTACAAATTATTAAATAAAAGGAAAAGGTCATACAAGAATTTTGTAAATAACATTATTAAACAGTTTCAAATTTTAAATATAAATAAAAACATTTAGAAGGCTTTTTAAACCTTACAACAACGTTAATAAATCGTCAAACTTTCTACAAATTATTTTACTTGATACAGAAAATAAATGTTCCTAAAAGTGTGCTTTAAAATAAAATTATTGAACAATAGGTCACGATCGTTTGGTGGCATTTAAAGCGAAAGCTGTAGAACAAGTAATTTTAAGAATTGTTGTTTCGAATCAATTGTTAGGCTGGCAAAGCATTAAATGCAGCTTTTCGGTATCGTAATAATTTAAATATTTACCTGATCCAGTCATTGTGCCTTTTTCGGAGAACGCTTGGAACTGAGAACCCTGGAATTGCACAAAAAATATCATTGAATAAATTAATTGAAAAGCATTGCGTAGAATTAATTACATATTTGTTATTTGATCGAGAAATGTGCTGACTAAGCAGACGCTCTAGGGGAAAAGTAAGCATCTAATTAGCATTCCCGGCACACGAGCTATGAGAGCTCACACTTCCCGACTAGGAGATCGGAATTGAAATGGAACACGGCGGTTAAGTGTCTGACCCTGTCCTTCCACCGTTTAAATGTCGCCCGCCGAATAAATTGGACGCTGCCCGGAGCGCAGCTATATTTTCCCATATATATTTAATATATACTCTGTACTTTACAGTTGTGATATTCTATTAACCCGGCGTGCGCCGACATAGACTTTGAGTCGACTGAAATTCCAGTTCGCATGGACTCGGACCAGGTGGGGAAGACGCCACCTGACTTTTTACTTTTCCCTTGCTCGCACGTTGCTGGCATTGATTTTATTTAATTTTTTTTTTTTTTACTGTTTTTGTCATGCGAAAATGTGGTGCGACGACACCCGCGATGGCATAAACCAAAAATCAATCACGCCTGACACTTTGCACTGCTGCCGGAAAAGTTTATCACCTGAGGCCTTTTTTACGACAATATTTACTATAACCTGTAAGGGCAAATATTGCAATATTGATAAGTAGCAAGTGGCCAGGAAATCGTTTTCCCCTATTAGGTAATTACCAAAGAATGGCTTATCTAATTTCTGAGTTTCATTGGGTTGGGTGGTTTTTTGCAAATAACAAAGTAGCAACGAAATTTATGGGTCTTTTAAAATTGATACCGAGCTTAAAATTTATATTTGGAAAGGTTCTCATACTCGTTTTTTAAATATATTTATAACTTATAAATCTTAAAAAATGTATAAACTATATTCTTTTTTATAAAGAAATTATTTTGAAACTAAGAAAGGAGTCAAAAGCTGTATTATCATTTACGTTTTTTCGGTAATTAAAATTATATCTAGTCAAGTTTATCAAACAATTTCCGTACTTTTGTAAATTACAATTACCCAAGTGCCTTGAACCGTGACTATATAATATATTTAATATTTTAAATGAGGAGGTTGTGACCTTGCTTATTCGTATATCCCAGCGATAGGCTCGACTCCAATGTCAAAGAGACCAAGACGATAAGTTGTGGACTTGCCACTATCCTTATCTTTTAGTTTTTGTGATTTGCTTAATATATTATATACTTATAGATATATATATTTTTGTAGGAAATCGTTTTAGGACAAAAACAGATGCGCTAATGAAAACCCAGAAATAAAACTCCATAGTTTGCATGACGCAAAAGCAAACCGAAAACGAAAATAAACGAAATGAAAGAAGCAACAAACAAAAAGATATATATTTTCGTACTGACTGCTGGGTACCAGGTACTTGGCACATTATTTATAGATACTATTTCTCTCAAGCTTGAAATAATACAATAAATCAAAATCAAACAATTAGTAGAACCTACTGCTGTTTTCCAAGGAAATAAACCGAGAAATACGTATACGCCCAGTGGGCTGCGAGGTATAGAAAAATCGAAACACATGCTGCCACTGCTGGCTATTGGTTTTGAATGCGGTTTTTGCATATTTTACTCGGTGCTCGTATTCCGAAAGCGACAGCGAAAGGTCGCATCGCCAAATTAGCATTCACGCATTGTGGCCTGCCCTTGAAATCTGGCATTACGAAAGCGTACAAAAGCAATTCCATTCTCGCACGGTTACATTAGCTCCACACACGATCCATTTCATTAGCTTAGAACTTCCGATTTCTAGTGAAAATATCTAATATTTACCGACTCACTCTGCTGGAGAAATACTAGTAGACCAGCACCAATGTCTGGTTTTGCCAGTGCCTCGATTTTAGCACATTTCGCCAGCTAATGATAAACGTTGATCGACACAAAAAGTGATTTCTTGGTGGACTTTGCACGATTCTCGATGGGGGACGAGTACTACGCCAGTATTCTGCATTAATACGACGCTTACAATCGAATGCCCTGGGGTTCGAACGCGTTTTGCATCGCATAAAGACTCATGCCATCTGATGTATTGGTGCTTTTAATTGGTTTTCCTATTTTTGTTGCCGCCGGTCTCTGATAAGATTCACAAAGAAAGAAACGCCAACGTCAGCTGAGCACTTTTAATCAATGAACTCACTCGTTTCGCAGATGCCCATTTCCACTTGAGCCTCAGATACAGTGGAAACTGAAAGGGTGTTTACCTTTGATGGATTTATTAACTAATTTCTGTTTTGTAACAAATAAGTCAAAGAAACATATTTATTACTAATGGATAACCATTACCCGGAGAGTAATTAAATTTGAGATCTTATTGGCTTTGAGAATACTGCAATTACTTAGGGTCTCTTTGCACCAAGCAAAAGTGGTCATGACACTTGAGCTTTTTAGCCAAAAAACCTGCTTTTGGCCAATGCCATTATAATATACACATACATTGCACAAATTCCATGCTCCACTGTCCAACAGTAAAGCCACTGAACTAAGACAGTGGAATAGTTTCCACAAATGCGAATTGTAATCTGACACAAATCAGCATTAAAATTCACTGGAGGTAAACACGCGCCAGAAGGCGAGATAAGAGCGAAAGACCTCTTTCGTTGAATTGATGATGTATAGTATGTCTGTACATACATATGTACATCGTATGTTGTCAGTTAATCAATAAAAACATATGTGGGGCTATCAATGTATGGTGTGGGGGGGTTCTATCACTGTGCAAAAATTAAGCTTTAAAAAGGTTCAAAAAATATAATGAAATTTTAATTCTTTTTTATTAGTTAAGGGTAAAGATTTACTAAAACATCTCACGAATTATTTAACTGAATAAATGTAGTAAATGTTTATATGAAATATTTAAAGTTAAATAAAACGTTAGGTAGAGGAAATTGTTTTTATAGCAATCCCGATTATCTTATGACATTTAAAGCAAATATTTATAGAAAATCACATATTATAATTTAAAAATATCGATTTTTTTATTTAATTAATATTACATTTAATTTCTTTGACCCATTTTATGTGAAATAATCACTATATTTTCGAGACACTTTGCCCCTCTGTGTATGAATCGATTTTATGAGCGTTGGGTGAACTGGGAAGGTGGTGCCACTGGCAACCCGAGTAATCAATAACAAACTCAATTTTGTTTTTGTTATGCTCGCTTGTTCAATTGCACATTTATGTAAAGCTCTCGTCATAGTTGTGTGTTTTTGTTATTACCGCTGCTGATTTGAAGTGACTCGACTTGCGACGACTCCTCGAGGCCAAAAGCACCGATTGAGAATTAGTCAACAGCTGTGCACTGCCGCAAAAAACACACACTCGCACACACGCACACTCTCTATAAAATCGGATTCGGATTCCGACTCGTCTACGGATCGATCTTGCGAGCTTCGCGTGTTGGCCGCGCCGAACTATTGGGGTCTAGAGCAGGGAGCAGACTGAGCGCCACCACGCTCCAGCCCGTCGCATTCGCTCGGCGAGCGGTAGTACCAGTGGGGAGCTATAGCTATGGTACCGCCGAGAGCGAAAGTCCGCCGCGCCCCCATATTTCGTTGCGCTCTGGCCACTATATTGGTGTATATCGTATGATAGTATGGCATAGTAGAGAGATGGCCTAGCATTGGGTTCGAGTGCTTTACGAGTGCCCATAGACGAATTAAGTTAATGAATGAGTGAGAGTGAGTTGTCAGCGCAAAGCTTACACATCAGCCTGGACATATCAGATCTCTAATCAGCTGGGACCACAGGGGGGCCTCCAAAGATCCACCTTCTTACTAAGCTATAAGCAATGGTCATCAATGAGATCTAATGAATTATTTTATCTTAGGATAAATATGTAATATAATATATATGAATATTAAATTAAATATAAAATAAATTAAATATCTAAAAATATATAAAAACGGCCATGAACGTATCTTTTTTAACTTTTATCAAGGGATGTCATATTATTATAGTGCCGTAATAGTTTATATATGTTCCCTTTTCATCTCAATTTGTTTTGCTAAAGATCTAACCCTAAGTGATATTAATAAGGATCATCCGATAAAGGTAAGTTTTTGATATACATACATGTGTACATAGTAGATGTTAATTAAGATATAATTTCTCATTTGGGTTGGTTTTTATAGCAGACATTGCTTAAATCATACTAGCTCAAAAGCCAAAACAAGATTAATAAAAAGAGCACTGATGTAATGTAAATGGTGCAAAACTTTAAAACTAGAGAAATATCACATACCCAACATATTTTCACGTTTTCTTTATTTTTTCCGGCTGCAAACGGCATGACAATCTATCTGTCAACACTTCCAGCCCATATAAACAAAAGCACACAAATCAATTCCATGCTTTAAAAGCGTAAACAACATTTAGATGTAAATATGTAATCTTATATGAGGAGAATTACTGTAAATAGTGGTAAATAAACCTATTTTTAAAGCACCATCGTTGTGACACCCTTTACATTTTTTCAGCCACGTAAGTGTAAGAAAATTCTGAATAATATCATTTATGCTTATCACTAATACCAAGTTCATCTGATAATAACACAAAGTAGGCACGTTATGGTAAAAAGCGGAGGAGTACCTGGAGATAAGATGTGATACTTTCATACCCTCTCTAAAGGTACTCAAAACCAGGTAAGAAACTTGTAGGGTGGGTAATTAATTTTTACTCTAAGCAAGCATAAGAATTAACATACCACGTCACTAGATAATTTCATTGCAGGGTATCAACATCAACAAAGGAACACAATAGAATACAGTTCCTCGTACTTACTTTGTTTTGTTGTTTTAAACCTTTGTCTTACATGTGTTTGTGCATTCTAGTTACTAATCTTTGTACACTGAAGAAATGAGCCAGAGTTTTTATATTAATTTTTGTAATTTATTTCATTTAATTTGGATCCATAAGAAGTTAAGACAACTAGAAATATTATTTTTAAAATAACAATTTATAATTTTCTCTGATACAATTTTAAATGTAAAATATTGTTTTTAATATACACTTTACCAGTATGATAAGATGGGTCACACGAGTTGGGCTGTGAACACCCCTGAAAGATAGACCAGTTGTTTGATTGAAAAAGAGTTAGCCTTGTTCAAAGAGCTACATTTGTAACAAAACCTAATAAACATATATAACATAAACAATAGATTTTTATAATAAAAATTCGATTTATTTTTCCAAGTGTTCTTTAAGTGCGCCGGGTAATTGAGACCACCAAGATGACAATTGTTTCAATATACACACACACACTCGGACACTTGTTTGCATGGAGAGCGGAAAGACTGAGATAATCTGCCCGGAGCGAGAATCAAGTGTCATTTTTTTTCTCAGTCTGCCACTGACGTTGGACCAAAATAAAGACAAATCAGACGGCCTCCGACTGCCAGCAGACCAACCCAATCCGAACGCGACTATTGCTTACCAGTTATGAGGATGTCTGGGACATCCACCTCCGAACGCTCAAACTCCGAAGACAGGTGAGAGGTTGTCCATCATACCCACCCTAAAATATCATCAGTAATCAGTTCGTCCGCGTGCCAGCCCATCGAATCTCTGCCTGACGGAGGTGCTCAGGACTTGTGCCAACATACAGTCGCTGGAGAGTCTCAACTACGAGTACAACGACGTCTACCTGACTGGACCCAGTGAGGGCAAGATGATATCTCCGAATCCGTACTTCAGCGGGAACATCTCCACCAGCAGCTGTCCCAGTGAAGATGTGTCCTTCACGGAGAGCATTCTCGAAGACAACGGGCGTATATCGCTGGCATATGAGAACCTGAAGACCATTCCACGGCGCCTGGCCGACAAGTTTGCGGCACAGACCAAGTTCCTCGATTTGAGTCACAACGATTTCCGAAATCTCAAGTTTCTCTCATTTTTCGAGGACCTGGACACACTCATCCTGGACCGCAACGTAAACCTAGACCTCAACACCTTTCCCTATTTGCCGAGCTTAAGGATCTTGTGGTGATTAAATAGATTTCAGCCTATTCTTCCGGTTACCATAAATCACATATAATGTTGCAGGATCAACAACTGCGATATTGCCAACATAACTGACTGGATACACCGCATCGAGCGGCAGTGTCCTTCACTGGAGCAGCTGTCTTGCATGGGCAATCCTGGTATCCGCACAGTCTTTGGTAATCAGGGACCTCGTGACTATACCCTGCAGGTCCTGCCACACCTGAAATACCTGGACGGACTGCCGGTTTGCCTGAGCAGCGGGAGTGGAGGGCACACGGAGCTCTCCTCGTCGCAGGGGCACGGTCAGGACTCCACCAGCAACTCAGAGAAGCAGCCCCGCTCTGCACCCGCCCTCACCTTCAAGAACTTCTTCCGAGTGAAACATTCGAGGAAATCGCGCAGTGGGCGGACCTACGGCAACGGCTCCTCCACAAACTGAAGTCCACTGGCGATGGCGCTGGGTGGGAGGGGTATTCTGTAGATTGCATTCTGTCCCATTGTTGGACTATTTTTAGCCGTCCGCTGGACTATCAGCGCTGCCCTCGGATGCCCTGCAGTCGTCGATTGCACCTACAGTACGATGCATGGAAATATATACACACACATGCCATGAACCGAGTGTGCGCGTATGTGCATATGCAGATGTATGACGATGTTGGACATGCACGAGCCTAGTGAGAATTAATCTAGTGCATTGAAGCAATTTTTACAATAAAGCGAGTCAATGGACTCATGAGACGATCAACAGCGGGTATAGTATAATAGCACCTATCTTCTGAGTAAATATTGTGCTCGTTTTAACAGCATTGTGAATGCCGTTCAATGTCCGATTAATGTTGCATCAATTCGTGGGCCAGATTAAGTGTGCTCTTGTTTTCGAAATGGAGGTCACCCAAAAAGATATAAAATAAAGTAAGCCGTAAATTAAGAAAGCAATGCCTGAGTCTTGTCTTGAAGTTTCAATGGAATGCCAGCCATCTCGGATAAATAATTTCTCTAACTTTATTACAGAACTATTTTTGCCTACCCAATATACTCAAGGCTATAAATCCGAACTCGAAGCCATCACCAATTCTTTAACATCAAAAAATACTAGCTTGTATGCTTTGACAATAAAATAGTTGTTAACTCCCACTTCTTTTAATGCTTTATCTATGTTATTTTCGCTTAAGAAACAGAAACTGAAAACCCATTTCTGAGAATATTTGGAATCATTACTTTCTGGCATCTATTACACGAACGGGATGATATCCATTAGTGCTTTTGTTGGTCAATTCGATTTGATTTCCAGGTTCGCTAAGGCAGCCTCCAGTGACATAATCAGTTTGTCGTTGTTTTTGATTGTGGATTGTTTGGTCGTGTGCTCCGACACCTGTTCCAGGGCCCATTGTGCCAGCTTTTGTAGCTCCTTGCGCTTGGAGCTAACAGCCCTCGAGTTGGCCAAGTAGTTGCAGCACAAGTAAATCCCATACAAGGCACGCAAGTTGTGAGGGTTGAGCTTCAGGGCCTGGGAGTAGTAAGTGCGAGCTGATTCCACATTCTCGACGCCGCCCTGTAGGGAAAAGAGGTTTGTAAAAGGATTTTACGCTTAAATATAACTCCCTAGAGGCTCACCATTGTGTAGCGAATTTCCGCCAGCCGCTGGTGTATCAGATGACTGTGGGGATTGTGCAGCAGAACCTCCTCCATGCAAAAAGCCGCCTTGCCAAATTCGCCCATAGCCAAGTACAAGGTGCACAGTTCATGCCAAGCCTCCTGATCGGACATAAACCTGCGGGAATATACATTTTTTAGGGGTATTCCTGTGACACTATCGATCCCCTACTCATTACTTTTTCAGATATTCGTTGAGCTCCTTGATGGCCTCCACCCGTCGACCGCGTGCCTTCAGAATGGCAATCTTGCGCTTTCGGGGCGCGGCATTGGTCTCGTCCTTGGCAATTATGACATCTAACACCTCATCCGCCTCGTCGTACTGTTCCAACGCCTCGTAGCGCATCGCCTTGAACTTCATCACGCGCAGACTGCCCGGAAACTCCAGGGCCAGCTGCTTGGTGCACTGGGTAGCGATGTCGAAGCGGGCAGTGTCCAAAGCCGCTATGATCACCTGCTCCAAGATAAGGTGGCGCTCGTTGCCGGTCTTGTGCACTTTGTCCTCCAGCACCGCCACCCACAGCTGCACCACCTCCTCGCTGTGGCGGCCGGTCTCCTCGCGCCACTTCCTGAACTGATCCCGCACATCTGCAAAGGGTGAACGGATTAGGGTCGTCCACTTTTCATTCATGCTCTGCTCCCATTTTCCTCCACATGCCAATTGGATTACTGACGTGGGCCCGCATGCTGCGGAGCCGGTTAAAGCGGAAAACTCACCCGACCAGCTCATCTCCTCGTAGTTTAGTGCCATGTTCTCCCAATCGGACCTACTTAACACTTGTATTAATTTTAATTTTTTCAATTATTAGCAATTTCCTTTCAGGGCTGATCTAGGGATGTGAGAAATATTTATAAATATCACCCTATCGAAATGGTACTCGAGAAGAAAAATCGATATATCGGCAGTATACATCGGCGTTTTTCCATCTCTACATCATGCAAGTTTCTTTTTTATTTGTAATAAGAGGGCAATTAAATATTGCCAAACTGGGCGAGAAAATTTAAATAGAAAAAATATAATAATTCTCTTTTATAAAAATAGTAAAGCAATTCTTATAAATGGTATTCTTTATTTACTACAAGATAGGCACGTCATTCAGCTATCGATAGATCGTGAGAGCGGAGAAATGGGGAACAATAGAGTTTTAATGGCCCTATAACACTCAAATTCAGTTGAAATAGCGCTATAGCGCTGTTAAATCTTTAATGAAATCTCTTATTAATGCGCTAATGTCATAATAGTATAAATGAATAGTTCCGACTCAAAATTTTTTCCAGTGCGTTGCCATGGAAATCAGTTAAAGTTGAGATTTTTTCAATAACAAGCAACGGTCACACCATTCCGTCCAAATCAACAAAAGCTACGAATTCCGGCTATTTAACCCGTGAAATCGGGAAGACTAGCGCCGCATGAGGAAGATCCAACTGGCAGACTACAGCAGGCATCCAAGCGAACCGGAAGCAGAGCCAACATGGGACCGCAGCAGCTGAAACGCGCCTTCCTGGGCTTCGACCTGAGTACCCAAAAGGTGACTAAAGCCCCCAGAACGGTAGCTGCCTACGTAGTATCTTTGTATCTGAGAGATGCGAAGGCGTCCCCACCACCATTTCCATCTCGTTCGTCTGCGTGGGAATGGGGTTATTAAAAAGGTCATCTCTCGCGCGGAACTCGCAGCTTCGGTCGGAACAGAACCTGTTTCCCAAGAGCCAGACACCACACTGCTTATCAGCGGCCCATTGCCGGGGCTCGCTTCCCGCTTATCTGCTAAGCGCATGGGCACACACAATAATTTAACTATTAGCGTTTGAATATTACAATTCACGTTCGGCGTATTGGCCCCCGCCGCACTATCTTAACCACCCCAATAACTTTCACAATTCCGCAATGACGCCAGCGGTGACTCCTAGTTGCCCTCTGTGTTTGATCGTTACTTTTAAGGTGTGTCGTCTGCCTGCGTATCTTAATTTGCTCTCCCATTTCCCCCTTCCAGCTCAAAGCCATCCTTCTTAACTCTTGTCTGGAGGTGGTAGCCTCGGCGGAAGTGAAATTCGACAGCGATTTGCCAGAGTTCCGGACCGTGGGTGGAGCCAATCCAGGACCCAACAAGAATGAGTAAGCGCATCCCGAGTCCTTAATCAAGTTAATTTCTGACCCACTTTTCTCTCCCCCATCTAGGTTCTTTGTGCAGCCCGTGATGTGGGTAAAGGCAATGGACATTGTCCTGGATCGCCTGGTGATGCAGGAAGCTGACCTGAGCACCGTGGCGGCCATCAGTGGCTCTGGACAGCAGCATGGATCCTTATACTGGTCCAAGCACGGTATTGCCGCGCTGGAGAACCTTGATCCCGACAAGTTCCTGCACTCACAAATTGACGACTCCGCCTTTGTCGTGAACCGTACTCCCATTTGGATGGACGCCTCTACCACGAAACAGTGCGTGGAAATGGAGACGGCCATTGGGGGCCACCTCGATATGGTGGAGCTGACGGGCTCCAAATGCTACGAGCGTTTCACGGGTCCGCAGATCCGGAAGATTTACCAGCAACGCACGCACGCCTACGAGGACGCCCAACGAATCTCACTGGTCAGCAGCTTCCTGGCCTCGCTCTTTCTCGGCGCCGTGGCTCCCATTGACTTTAGCGATGGCTCCGGAATGAATCTGCTGGACATCCGCCAGAAAAACTGGTCGAAGGCCTGCCTGAATGCCTGTGCCCCTGATCTGGAAGAACGTCTGGGTCAAGCTGTCAGTCCCAATGCGATTGTGGGCTCCGTTTCCGAGTACTTTGTGAAGCGCTTCAGCTTCCCGGCTGATTGCAAAGTAGTGGCCTGCACGGGTGACAATCCCTCGGCTTTGGCTGGCATGCTGGTGGATAGCAATTGGCTAAGCATTTCTCTTGGAACCAGCGACACGCTAATGATGAGCATGAAGGAACCCCTCAACTGGGAGGAGGGCCATGTGCTATGCCACCCAACCGAGACAGATGAATACATGGGACTGCTATGGTAGGTTTATTCACGAAGCAAATGATTTTTATATATTTCTATTTTTCGCATTTTTAGTTTTAGAAATGGGTCTTTGGTCCGCGAGGAAGTTAACAAGACGGAGGCCGGCGGAGATTGGCAAAAATTCAACGAACTTCTCGAGTCCACGCCACGTGGAAACTTTGGCAACATGGCCGTTCACTTTAACGAAATGGAAATTATTCCCAAGGCAAAGGGCACACTGCGTTGGAATAAGGATAGCATGCCCCACCCAGCGGACGCCGCCAAGGGCGTTATCAAGTGAGTCTAAATACTAATTTTAAACCAATTGAAAAAAATAATGTAATATTTTTATACTCCACAGATTCAGCTCACCTGAAATTGAAATTCGTGCCTTAATTGAGGGCCAGATGTTGCACCATCGCGCAGTTGCCGAAGACATGGGCTTCCATTTTGGAAACGAGACTCAAATCCTTGCCACTGGCGGGGCATCTGTCAATAAATCAATCCTTCAAACCATCGCCGATGTGTTTAATGCCCCCGTCCATATCCAGGTGTTTATTTTATATTAATTATTTTATTTTATTTTATTAATTATAATTGCAATACTTGCAGACTGAGAGTGAGGCCGCCCTGATGGGAGCTGCCTTTAGAGCCGCCTATGTTCTCTACAGAAACGAACTGAGTGAGGGGACTACCCCGCTTAGTTACAAGGACTACGTCCTGAGTCTGACGCCCAACAAGCTGCAGCTCGTCTGTGAGCCACACAAGGACAGTGCAGACATCTATGCTCACATGCTGCTGCGATATCGCGATATGGCGCGAACTCTGGCCTAGACGCGACATTCCGTTTTGTACTACTCCACTGCATTCCTACAATGTACACTCCAATTTTTAATGCCACCTGAAATTGAGAAAAAAGAAAACTTAAGTGCAATTAACTTAATTCTGTGATTGACGATTTATTACAAATTTATGCGAAAACCCATATACAAATAAATGTCTACATATGGAGCATTCCTAATTGGGTGCCGGCTGGCCTTTGTAATTGATTCTCGGTCTACTTCTTGCGGCCACCACGCTCCTTGACCTGTAAATGCACTGTGGTTCCGTTCACGAGATTGTAGAAAGCCATCGTGTTGCTGTCCTTGAAGAACATGCCCTGGAAAGCATAATTGTTTAATAGTATTTTCTTCGTTTCGTGAGATAGTCACAACTCTTACCTCGTAGAAGATCTTTTGCTTGGCCGGAGGCATACCAGTCTCATCCTGAAGCTTCGTCTTGAGGTTGGTAATGGGTTCAGAAAGGGCCATGGTTACGGCTATCATTTGGCCATTCAGCTTCCATTCGGATTTGTCAGAATTGGGCACTTGAACCTGAATAGTTACGGGGCTCTGGAAAATATAATAATAATAATATAATAATTCTCAAGATGTTTTAGTGTGAATCCCACCTTGTGCGAGGCAATAAAGTCCGCCTCTGGTATGAGGTTATCCTCGGAACGCAGCTTTTTGGCTGGCGGCTCTTCCTCAATTAACTCAACCGGCGGAGCTGGTGCCAGCTGTTGGGGTGGACCACCCGACTGCATGCCCATGTAGCCCCCACTGCCAGCTCCATAGGGTGGTTCTGCGAAAGCAACATTGATTAGTCCTCGAATGAGATGGCCAGGAATCAGGTATACTCACGCATCATGGGCGGACGCAGCTGCATGAGCGCCATTACAGGTTGCGTTGGCTGCTGCGGATGATGGTGGGGCGGATGCTGTGGCGCCTGCGGATGCTGCTGCGGCGGATGATGATGGTGCATGCTGTGATGGCCGTGGTGACCACCGCCGCCGCCGCCACCTTGATGGTGTTGGCTCTGGCTGGAGTGACTGGTCTGAGACCTGGTCGATGGCTGCGGTGGGGCCGATAGCGTGGCCTTGTTGCCCACCGGCTTGGGCCCAATCTTCTCCTTCTCCTCGTCCGGCAGCAGACCCTTGACCTTGTGGATTTGGTGGATTTGTTCTTCCAACGTGATATTCGCTCTGGCCGCACGCGTTGCGGCCTCCACGCTGGACGTGTGGCCGTCCCAGGTCACGCGATCGTCCTTCTTGGTCTCCTCCTCGCCCAGCTTCTTGCCAATAACCGTCTCCTCGTCACCCACACCGAAGATATCGGTACGACGTTCGGCCAATTGCTTGAGACTCGCCTCGATCGCAGTACCCGCAGCAAAAACGTTGTCCTGATTGATTTTCTCCACGGTGTGCTTGTCGCGCTGCTCCACCCAGCGTGGATCCAGCAGACCGATGCGCATATGCTCCGAGACCTTGGAGGCCGGAATCTTCTCGCCCGTGATCGGTGAGATGAGGTACTCGTCCGTGGGCATCGGCGCCGGCTTGGGTTGCGTGGCTTTGGGATCGTATTTCTTGACCACCACCTTGTCGTGAGTGGGGGGCAGCATGGGCGCCACCGAGGGCTGCAGCTTGGTCGTCGGAGTATCCTCGTCGCTGGAGGCCTCGTCCATGTCTTGCACCTGGGTATTGTCGCGCTTGGCACCTGTCGGCTGACCGTAGGAGGACACGTTCTTCATCTGAATGCCCACACGGTTCTCCATCTGCGAAAGCTTAAGGCCGCTCTCCAAGTGACTGGGCACATGGGCGTCGTCATCGTCATCCGATTCAATCTGCATCTCGGTGTCGCCCTCCTCTTCCATAAGACGCTCCTCCATTAGCACGCGGGCACCCACCTCGTCTGGATTTGTGGGCGGCGGGAAGTTGCCGGACTCGAAGGGCTGATAGTCCACCGTCTCCACCACCACAAAGTCGTGCCAATCGATCTGGGCGTAAGCTACGCGCTCCCGTTCAATCTTCTCCTCCTCGCGGCGACGCTGTGCCTCCTGGTGGCGCTGCCAGTTGGCCCGGTATTTGACGTTCTCCAAAACCTGGTTCATGCTGGCCCTGCCCGGAGCACTCTCCGTCCGTAGCTTGCCCAGGAGATCCTTGGGCGGGATCAGCACCTTGGTGTACTGTTCCAGCAGCTTGGTGAAGTATTGAAAGAGCGAGTGCTGGGGACGGAGAAAATCAAACTGGAAGTTGCGCTGCTCGCGGCTCATCAGATTGGTCAGGAACTGGCGGCCATTACGGGCCACAAACTGAGCTGTTAGCTTCACAATGTCCCTGATAGAAAAGATTTGAAGATAAACAATAAGATGAGCTGTAAGGGTAGCTAAACTTACAAATCCAAAGCCGAAATGGATGGCGGATCGGCGATAAATTCAAATTCCGGCGGTGGGTCTTTGGGCACAAACTGCTGCTCCACCACCTGCTTCAAGAGTTCCTGCTGGCGCTGCTGGGCGGCACTGGACACCGCCAGCGCTTTCATACCGGCCACGGCCGTGATACCGGCATCTATAAGAATGTTATAATAAGGAGTGCTCCGTGGTAAGTTTTCCAGACTCACCATTGCCCTCGCGAAACTCGTTGACCTTGTGTCGGTAGTAGGCGTGGTAGGGATCGCCTCCATTCAGGAAATTAAACTTCGGGTTGCCCAACTCGTTCTGCCGGATACGGGCCTCAAACTCCGGTCCATTGCGGGCCACGAAGCTGGCGGTCTTGTCAACGATATCTGTTAGTTAGAACATGGGTAACTGAGCATGGGAAAACGCATTAAACCTGTAACTTTGATTAGGATTTAAATATGTAAATTGTGTAAACATTTTTCGGTTTTTTGCAAAGGATGCTTCTGACTTCCGGCGGCGGATAGATGATGCCGACAATGGGCCCGGACATCGGCTTGGATTGGTCATTGCTGAACTGGTCCTCGGTGGCTTCCGCGTCTAAAGCTGGCATGGCTGCTGGGTTTCCTCGCTTTTATTGATCAAATCCAATTTATTTTTCGGAAAAACGCTTGTTTAGTAAAACTGGCTAGAGGTGGAAATAAAAGCGATTACCATGTCGATAACTAGTGCTGGCAAAGCATCGGAGCACTATCGCTACTACTTATCGATTCACCCCTGGTAAAAGTTATCGAAAAAAGTAGTATCGGCGCCTCGTTTAAAATTACACTGTACGGCCAGCCTTTTAATTACATTTGTAAAATGACAAAGGCACGCTCGAAACCATTGGGTATCAATTGCTTCATGATTAAGGCGTGGACAGTGGTATATAATATATATCTACCCAGGTGTGGTTGTCATTTACATATTACGTGGGTGTTTGTTCTGCTTTTTGTTGGGGAAGAACACTCACACGGATTGATTCACCGCGTGCCAAATAACAAAAATAACATTTGTTTACGCTTTTTCGATTTTTTGCTCCCCGAGAGAACACGCTCCCAAGCCAGATGATGAGCTCCATTATGCGTGATAATGATCCGGCTGAGCGGCTGTGATTCCGCCGAGATCTGGCCGCATCTCAGTAGTCTACGAGCGGCTGAGCCATCGACACGGTTTATTGGAACGGTACGGACGACAAAATAGCACGGAGAGCCCAGCCAGAGCCAGAGTCGCAGTTCGAATTACTTCCTTATCAGTCACTCGCGACGTGACTTAAATTTCATTGACGTGTTGCCGCGGCTTGTGAATCTTGTGAATCAGAAGCGAGAGCCCATGTATTTGCCCTGAGAACTCTGAATTCTGGGACAAAGAACAGTGCAATGGCTGGAGACAAGTGCATCTGCCTGCTGGCTCTTATAATAGGAGCATCGATACTGCCCTCCATCTGCGATGCTACCAGTTTTAATTTCCCAAATCGTAAGTCATGAAATATTATCTATAGAATAGTATTCTTACTTCATAAATCTAAATACAATTTAAATCCCTGTCTACCGGTGTTGTTGATAAAACACTTTTTTATTCAAATATCATATGAGAGAGCACAGAAAATAAACAACAACAAACCTGAATGCGGTGAATCTAATAGGTTGAATTAATCAGTATTCATTTTATAGCTTGTTTAAGCTATTCAGTCCATCACCTCCATAAAAGTGTCAATGGGTTACAAGCATATATTTCTGGGATTACCAGGAAGCGGTTAAATGTTTTTAAATTCATTTATGATGTGGATTTTAATTGGTTTTAAAGATATGAAAAATAACAAGAAAGGAAGCTAACTTCGGCACGCCGAAGTTTGTATACCCTTGCAGATATTATTTCATTACATTTTACCTATACTTATTATGTTTACAGTTTGACAGTTACAGTTTTGCATTCCCAGCTTTACATTTTCTCTACATCTACCGATCGGTTTATATGGCAGCTATATGATATAGTTGTCCGATTTTTATGAAATTTATACCAAAATTCTAGAACAATAAAAAAAGCCTATATCTCAGAGTAGATACAAATACGTTGAAAAACAACGAAGCTATAATTTTTTTCCTATTAATTTCCCGATCGTTCCTATGGAAGCTATATCATATAGTCGTCCGATTTTCATAAAATTTTTACCAAAATTCAGAAATAATATAAAATGGCCATATCTAAAAAATGGTGCAAAAATATTGAAAAACAGCAAAGTTATAATTTTTTTTCTAAAAATTTATTGGACATTTGTATGGGACCTATATGATATAGTCGTCCAATCCGGCCCGTTCCGACATATATAGCAGTGAGAGCATATAGAAGACTATATGCAAAGTTTCATTCAGATAGCGTTAAAACTGAGGGACTAGTTTGCGTAGAAACAGACAGACGGACAGACGGACAGATGGACAGACGGACAGACGGACATGGCTAGATCGACTCGGCTGTTGATGCTGATCAAGAATATATATACTTTATAGGGTCGGAAACGTCTCCTTCACTGCGTTGCAAACTTCTGACTGAAATTATAATACCCTGCAAGGGTATAATAATTTTTTGTTTGATTTTTGATATAGCAAAGCAAAAAGTGGTCTCTCTTACTCTTTTTGTTGAAGCTCACGTGTTATGTCATCGCGAATGACTGCACTTGTTCCCTGTAACGTCAGTTACTAGAGTCAAAAATATATACATATATTGAACCTGATGGGAATTCCTAAATTATCGCTTCAAAAGTTCACACAAAAGTGTTTTGCTTATCACTTAAAAATATATAAAAAGCTTATTGAACAAATGTTTACAAACAGCTCCAAATAGATTTGTGAAGGCGTGGCAATTATAATCAATGATTTTTTTTTCTGATTACCAACAAATTGAGTATTTATATATGAATGCATTTCAATTAACATTTGTTAGCAAGTCTACGTATTAATAACCTTTTCCTATTGAAGCGGGAATCTACCTAGACTTTTGATAATGATCAATAAAAAATCCCCAAAAGCCATCTTTATTTATTGAATAACACACTTTACCTAACTGCACTGACCTTTGCAATATTATTGTACTTTTTAAGTCGTCTTGATTAAAGTGTTGACAGCGCTTCATTTGTGGAATATTCCAGGGGCATAAATCATTCTTGCCTAATAGGTAAAACGTATTTTAATTGAGTTTAAAAAGATTTTCCCACCATTATTTACGGTTAATTAGAATACAAAACATATGGAAACTTTTGAAAGGTTGCTTCCATATTTATATATATTTTTCTTTTTAATATTTTTTAGCAAGAACTGATATAAGAAATGAAGCCAGATCGTACTTAAACGGAATTACTTCTGCGAAATGGTTGGAATTTGTCAACTCCGGACTTGATTCCGTAAACAGACAAAAAAGGTTTGTTAATTTATTTTTTTATATTATTATTATATATATTTTTTTAACTTTTAATATATTTCTTAATTTAAAAATTTTCCAGACTAGAGGAAAATCTCTTAAGATCTGAGATTACTGTCCAGAATGGCACCATTTCCCATATCCAACTTCTGGACACTTTGCCCAATAGAGCTTCCAAGGAGGACAGCGAAATAGCTCTTAAAATATTAAAGTCTAGCTTGTACGTGTACAACAGTCAATGTTTGAGCCATGGCATCGACGGAGATGAGTGTCGGAATTATCTGGAAAATATACCCTTGCCTGTGGGGAGCAGTCTGCGAGAGGAGTGCCAGAACTTGCTGTCTGGAAACAGAGAGGGTCACCATGCTTTCCGGCGCTTACTGGAGCCCCATTATAGAAACGGCTTCCATGAGGTAAGATGAATTTTCAGAAATATATTTAGGGATGTGTTATATAACCCAATCCTTGCAGATGTTTCCAGAAACCGGTCGCTCTGTCAGCCAGCCGCCCGCCTGGTCCATTAGCAAGGCTCTCTACGAACCGGATACCATCCAGAAAGCCAAAGATCTAATCTCCGAGGAGAAATCTCATTTAAATCTGGGTCTGGCTCAGTGGGCTCAGTTTGTGGAGCACGATCTCAGCAAGCCCGTTTCACAATCGATGAGTGAGTTTTTCTTTAAAAGCTTTTACTATTCTTTAACTTAAAGCCCAATAATCGATCAATTAAAGCGGGCTCTATTTACTTAATAAATTCAATTATTAACTTCTGTATTCCCAAGGCACCGGAGCTCCCATCGAGTGCTGCAGCCGTGACCAAAATAACCTTCAGCCCCGCCACCGCCACCCGGCATGTGCTCCAATTCTGTACCAGCCCAGTGGGAAATACGACGTGCCCAGCTGCCTCAACTATGTGCGAAGTGCGCTGGCCGTGGCCGATTGCAATTTCGGAGGTGCCGAGCAGGTGAGGCGAATGGAGCCAGTACTAGATCATGGGAAATAATATTGATATTATTATGCCTCCCCAGCTCAACCAGGCCACTGCCTCCTTGGACCTTTCCCAACTCTATGGCTTCACTTCGGCTGCGGAGGAGAAAATGAGATTGTTTAGGGGTGGTCTGTTAAAGTCCACACCCATTGGCCAGCGCCATCATGTCCTGCTGCCCATGACTAGGGATACCCAGGACCTGGGACACTCCTTCTGCGCTTGGGGAGCCACTGGCAATGCCACCTGTTTTGCAGCCGGCGATTCCCGGGTGAACAGCAGTCCCTTCTCCATACTGATCTACACGATCTTCATGCGCAACCACAACCGCCTGGCCAGAGAGCTAAGTGACAGGAAATCCGGCTGGAGCGATGAGCAGCTGTTCCAGGCGGCCAAGGCGGTGAATGTGGATGTGTATCGCCGAGTGGTCATAGACGAGTGGCTGCCAGAGGTTCTGGGAAAGAAATTGGCCGACGAAGCTCGGAGCAGAAGTGACCGGGCCCAGGAGATCTCGAATGAGTTTGGAGTGGCTGCCATAAGATTCTACTTCTCCATGCTGCCCAATGAGCTGCATAATCTGGTCAAGGATAACGACTTGGATGAGTGAGTTTTTATTTTAAACATATATTGCACTCTATAAACTTTGAATATGGTTTATTTTAGCAACAATTTACCTACCACAAACCTGTTTGAACTGAAAGAAGAGATCTACAAGCCCCGGCTGCAATACACGACTCAGAAGCTGAATGAGATCCTCGAGAGTTTGCTCAATCAGCGAACCATGAAAATGGATGCGTCCTATGCAGGAGATGTAAGTCTGAACGTTTCATTAATTTACAAGAATTTATATTAAACATTTTTCTAGGTCGTCTGGCACAAGGACACCAAGCCCACACATGCCGATATCCTGGCATTCGACATTCAACGAGGCAGGGATCATGGCCTGCAGCCTTATCACAAGTACTTTGAAATCTGCAGTCTACGTAGACCCGTTACTAGCTGGAAAGACTTTGAAGGCTTTATTCCCAATGATGTAGGTTCGGGTTTTTAAAGGGCATTTTTAACAGATAACGAACTATACTTGAGTGTACTTAAAATAACAACTAAGATTTTTAACACCTTTATAAATTTCTATTTAAAGTTAGATATATTCCATTTCTTTAATAGCTGTTCTTTATTAACTATTAATTAATTTGAAAGGTTTTGGAAAAGCTGAAAACCATCTACTCCAGCTGGACAGATATCGATCTGATTGTGGGTGGCATTTCTGAGCGTCCTGTCAGCGGAGCTATTGGTCGCACCTTTAGCTGCATATTGGGTAAGTTTTTCCCTCAAAACTATAGTTAATTTGCTATTAAATAATCTATACATTTCAGGCGAACAATTCTGGAATGTGCATCAGCAGCATCGGCAACAATCGGACCACAAGCACGACTCTCTCCTCAACGAATATCGCCATTTCAATGGCTCCAAGCTTCTGTGTCTGAACTCTGATGTGAGAGCTGTTCCCCAGAATATCTTCCAGTTGCCATCCGCCAGGTATGTGTTGATTTTGCCATTCAATCATTACCCGCAATAGATAACCTGTCAGCGGTTGTCTGGGCTGTGACTCAACACGGTAGAAAATTAGATTCCCATTTGATATTAACCTGAGTACCTCAGTGATAAGCCCGGCAACAGCAATTATCTACAAGCATAATGATGGTTTCTTTTGTGTTTCCTTACAGCAATCAACTGGTTGCCTGCGACGATGTGGTCTAAGCAGTTCGGAAGATACAAAAATGTCTTATATACACACCAAACCGATTTTAGATTACTATGTTCCTAAGTCCCAAGAAAGAAAATCTGATTTAGAGCTCAATAAATACCTCGAAACTAAACGTTCTACATAGTTGTTAATGCACAAAGATTAACTGGGAAATTACAAAATTAAAACCTTTAATAAACATATTTGTTTGTTTATTAAAGGTTTTAATTTTGTAATTTTGTTTAATGTTTACTTGCTGAAATTATAATACTCAATTCAGAAGCTGCATCGTTAGAGACACGCAATATTGCTGTAATCACAGTCGTTACAGAAAGTGTTGCAGCAAGTGTGATACGTGTATTGCCATTTTCAACAATTCCCATTTTCAACTGTAATGAGGGTCGCTTTTTTTCTGATATTACGTGAATTAGTTTGCGGGCCCCAATAAAAGGCAAGAATGTCACAATTAGCACCAATAAAACTTATTGGCCAACAAACGAATAAAAATGTTTCCCCAGACCTTTCGAAGCAATCATTGCAGTCATAAAGAGAGGGTTTTTTAATTAAGAGAGTGATTCATATGCAAATTTAAACAATTTGATAACAAAAGGTTGTTTATTTAAGATATTTTCTTAATTAAATAATAAAATTATTGATGGTTCACTTTTAATGGATTGGTAATGTATGGGTTCTAATTAAGCAAAACTCCAAAGAACTTTGGAATGCAGATAATTTAAATAACGGATGACTTGATAATAAAAAGAAAAATCTGTCAGGGCTTTTATTTTGTTCTAAAGCGTTCTCTTTTCGTCATATTTAAGTATTTGTTATGATTCACATTTAATTATATTTTTAGACATTATGCAAATTATATTTTTCAGGCTATTAAATATAGGTTTCCACCCCAACAAGTCACAGTACTATAATGCATAAATTCCCGACTTAACTTGTCGCTTGGCGCAAATATGCTAGAAATGTGGGAATGGCATGTTGTGGCGGGGAAACTCTCCGAAATTCCTCACCTGCCCGATAGGGAATTCAGGCTTGTCGGTGGGCCCAGGGTCAGCTGCTGACCATTTGATGCGATCACCTTCTGTTGCTGATATAAAAGACCTAGCCCCAGCGCCAGGCGACCCTCTCTCTTTCTAAATACATATATTTGTTTCTGTTATTCTCTGGCGCGCGATAAGATTGCCCCAAGTGCCAATGGGTATCGTATCGAGCGATATGATGCACAATCGCAGAACAGCGAGATAAGGCACACTTTTGCTTTTGCGATAAGGCCAGCCAGGCTGCACGAAAAAAAAAGTAACAATTTCAGGCAATCAATTAATGAGGAGCCAGCTGATATGGCCAATTCCCTTTGGGCCCACTGTCGGTGGTTAGTTGGTTTTCGAATTTGATTCGCAGCGGGTCGAGAGTGCGAGTTCGGGCCATCTGAAACACAATTATAAATAGATAAATAATACAAGATTCCAGCTACCGAATAAATAACCATCACAGTGGGCCACCGTGTGAACAGCAAGGTAACCAGCCATCGCTCTGACCGATCTCAGCTCGTAAATCAAGATCCCAAAGATACGGGGTATCTCAGGATCTGATGTCATGCCTGCGAAGGCACTAAATGAATCTCAGTCGTGCTCTAATCATGGTTAAAAATACGGATACTACCATTATATTCGGCTCTTTATGTAATGAGCCTTCCATTAATTATTGCTTCATGTGCCAAGAATTTCCTGGCTTTGTGATAACTGCAAAAGTAAGGTGCAAAAGCAGAAAGCAAAGGCAATCGCAAAGTCAGTGCCTAATTGTGTTTATCTAATCGCGCAGGTAGCTACCACACACACGGGGAAATAGAGTTTTTACATATGTATATAATAGCCAATATGTAGTTTGTTGCACAGGTGTGAATCTCTGTCAAGTGGCGTCTATCCCAATGTCCACTCTGGTATCGGGAATCAATAGTTTCCCAGAAGCCTTAGGCTGCGCAACGCTTGAATCAGAATGGTCAAAGCTGGCAATAGAACCTTGAGATACTTTCGACCCATCGCGGTGATAAATGGGTAAATATGGGTAAAGATGGACAGGAAACTAAAGCCGATATAGGCCTGGAGATAGATTAGTAGTACACCTGACAACCAAGTGTGGGATTTGTTATTTAAATTGGAAAATTTAAGGCAAGATGAGTCATCCCAAATTGTAATTGAAACTCTTGTAAAGAAGAGTTTGTAAAGGAGATTAAGTGAACGTTTGAAAAATATTTTTAAGTACAGATCAAGGCCCTAAAAGGCCTTAAAAGTACTAAAAAAAGAAAAAACATAGACCGATTTTTCACTCGTTGATATCATATTATTACGGGGAATGACCCGACATTGAAAATAAATGGATAAGGATTTCTAAGAAATGTTTCTCTAAAGTCCCCATAAATGTTACGTTTTGCTTTAAAATTTACGGGATTTTCCCCTTCTTTAAAGAGAAAATAATATTTGATATTCTCGGAAGTCTAAATTGCAAACACTGTAGAAGCTATTTGACCATTATTGTTGTTTACATGGTATTGTTTCTATGTAAGTGTTATCAATAAAGAAAATGTACATAGAAAGCAAATAGACAAATCAAACAAATAGCAAAGAAGTGCGCAGTTTATTTTCTATTTCCTTTTCTAATAAATATATTTATGATTTATTGTTTGGAATACAAACAAATAATATATAATTCCTATTTAAACAACTAAATGTTACTTTAGGATGCCACGTAACGGCTACGAAAATGGAATCCCAAACGGCGACATGGCCGGCAATGGGCATTATGACGAAATCAAACCCACTTACGCCCTGGAGCACCTGGCCACCTTCAAGCTGAAAAACGAGGCGGAGATCAAGCAGCCCAAGGAGAAGATGAAGCTGCTGATCGAGCTGGACAAAACTGGAGGCATCTGGCCGCACAAGATGTTCATGAGCTTCAATGGCCAGTGGCTGGTGATGCTCGACAGTGAGATGAAGGAGATCGAGAACTTCCCGGGCAGCCTAATCACAGAGCCTACAGCATTCATCAGCGAGGATCCCAAGGAGGCGTACAACAACATCCTGATCTTTTCAGTGCCGGGCATCTCGCTGGGCAACACAGAGATGCACATTTTCCAGGTGAGATTTCACAGCTTTGATTTAGTCAAAGGCGAATTTGGACTCATAATCTTATCTTGAAACGTCACAGGTGGCGGACGTCAGTTCAGTGCATCTGGTGGAGGATCTAAAAACGGTGAGTAATCAATATGAAATTATAGAAATATATTTTTAGATGGATTATCAGATTGCGAGTAACCGAAAGTATTTGATTAAAATATTCATTATTAATTAAGAAATGTTTCTATTAAATATTTGTCATATTTTCCAGCTGAGCAAAGGCACTCCCATCACAGTGGATCGCAACAAGACGCCCATCCTCCTACCTAAGCCAGACAGAACCCACAATCATCAGGCCAAGGATCAGTACGGAATCGCAGCAGCAGTGGCGGAAATAGCGGCGGAGAAGAACGCCATGGACAAGGAGCAGACCGAGCGGGCTGTCCAAGTTATTAATCACTGCTTCGAGGACATTGAGCGGTTCATGGCCCGCCTCCACTATGCTGCCGAGGCCCTTAATGAGCTGAAGCTCCGCAAGGAGCAGCACAATCCTCACGGCGAGGGACTCCTGGTCCTGCGATCCCGTCCACCCATTGAGAGCGAGTTCCACGACATCCTGGCCAAGGTAAAGCTGGCCCTGATCTACTCCGTCCGGCTGCAGAATCACTTCAGCAAGTCCACTGATCCAGTGCACAACGTCTTTATCTCGCTAAACACTATCGTCACTGTCTGCAATGACATCTATGTGGACGCGGGTCTGCCGGAGGCAGTGGTCAATCCCCTCCTGCGCAGAGAGACGATTGCCTTCCTCAACGGAGCCCTAGACTCCAATGAGAAGCAACTATGGCAAAGCCTAGGTCCCAACTGGACAGTCCCAAAGGATCAGTTTAAGGATCACAAGAGCTCTTACCATCCAATCTTCTACGATGACTGGTCCCCCGATTGGGTGGTGGATGAGGAGGTCCCGTACCTGGCCCCCGCCCTGAAAAAGACCAATACACCCTCGCCATTGGCAGTGCCCATACCCATTCCCCCGAGTCCAGATGGCGGCAATCGCACCTGGTTGAACCGCCTCGAGAGCCGGAATGTCAAGATCGCCGAGGTGTCCTACAACAAACAGCCCACTAACGACAAGGAGCTGAAGGTCACCAAGGGGGAGTATTTGGAGGTAAGTAACGGTTTCCAAAATTTGTTATTTTTTTGTAATAAATTCAATGCTGCTTGGGCAGCCCACATCAATTCACTGTAAAATACGGACACTTAATAACGCAGCAAGCAAAACCAAAACTGGAATAAAGTCAGGCATGTGTTTCGTATTAAAACAGTAAAAGTAAAAATAAATTGAAAAGAAATGAGATATTAAATTATTGTTTTGAGATTTCAAATACGATATAAAGTGCTTCTAAATAATTTAAATTGAGATCATTTCGTATTAGAGTTGTTTATTAAATATTTAAGTGCACTTGACTTAACTTGATTACGGATGGTAATCTCTTAAATGACGTAAGATACGTTCGTATATAATATAGATAAAGTAGATCTATGATATTTTGGTATTTGTATGCTCTTCATGATAACAAAAATCTTAAAGATAATAAACTATATCCTCCGAAAAAGGCTTAGATAAACAAGGCCCATAAAGATTTCGTAGAAAAATATACGTGATTCAGAAAATTCTAGTTTGGGAATTCCCAGTATATTTATTAGATATATCAAAGAGGAAATAAAGTTCGATAAAATAATACAAATACATATTTTAGATATTTAAATACAAAATTGTATACCAAGAAGTCATTTGACTTTCTATAAAAGTTTGCTTTTAAATAATCTAATCAGACTTGAGATTAATCTCTCAATTTGATAACAAAGCTTATAAAGATATTTATTTTCCCAATCTATATTTAACTCATCTTTGACTTTATTTATATTTTCCTAATCTTAGATTATCGACGACTCCCGCAATTGGTGGAAGGCTCGAAATTCGTACGGCAACATTGGCTACGTGCCGCATACCGTGCTCACTCCATACAACTTTGAGCCCGGAGTAAATGGTCGGGACACCGAGTCCTTGGCCTCTCTGGCCCTGGTGGAGAATGGCGCTGAATTCGCGGATGCTAATAACCCACTGTATCGCAACACCATGGCTATGTATACCGCTCCCGTGGAGCCAGTGACCAACGGCAAGGCCATGCCGCGCTCCTACTCGATGCCCAATGTTCCCGTTCCGCCACCGATGCCGCCAAGTGACAGTCAGCCGCCCACGCCAAGTGGCACCCTCAAGCGGAACATGGCAGCGGCAGGAGCTTTGGCAGGTGAGTCAAGTTATCTTTCTTTTAATTTAAAAATTCCAGGAGAATTTACTAACTAATTCTTCGAAAATTAAAAAAATTGTAGCAGGACTTTTAAGTATATTATGTCAAGAACTTTTAGTTGCTTTAAATCTTTAAAAACTTTCAATAATGTATGTATTGTAAAGGAGACAAATTCCCTTTTAAGCCAACTTCCACAAAGGTACTTTATATTTTTTACAAAGTTTGAACTCGCCTGATTTCCCGACTGTTATCATATTTTTTATCTTTGCCGCTATCAAAGATATTTGTGACCTTATGTAGTCCAGATAAAAACCACTGTTTACCAAAGAAATATGAGAACCAAAACTAGCAAGGCAAAAGTCAGCTGGATAACAGGAATTTGTTTAGTTTAAACTTTTATTTATAATTTATTTTTCTACAATTTTTTGAATAACTTAGCCATGCGTGCCCGCAATGATTGCGATGCCGATGACGAGGCCTACTATCTGCAGGACGATGTTAATGACGAGCTGCGTGTTATGCTGCAGCAACGACAGAAGCGCAAGGATCTTGAGATCCTAAAGACGCCGGAGATCTTCATCACACAGAACTCGAAGCCGCGCGAGGTGGAGGAGTGGCTACGGGGCAAGGGCTTCTCGGATGTGATCATCAAGAGGCTGCACACGCTCAGCGGCGAGGAGATTTTCGCACTGTCACCGCACACCATCGAGAGCTACTTTGGCCAGCGGGAGAGCCGTCGCCTCATCTCCCAGATTGTGCTGCAAAAGAACTTCTGCGAGGTAACTTAATATACATAGTTTAAGAAATGATAATAATAGCAATACTAATTTCCCCCTACTTGCAGTACAAAACCATTCGCTCTTCGGAACTGTCAGCCAAGTTGGCCAAGGCAAGGCAAAAGGCCGATCAGTCCAATGGCGATCCCAACGAGGTCTTCTAGGATTCCCATTGGAATCTTGTAGGATTTCCCTTTATCCTGGATGCATAACAGCGTTTGAAATTGGGCTTAAATCAGAGCTCAAAAGTCGCCAAGTTTTGCCATTTATTTATTTATGTGTAATATTCCTTCATTTATGTTAAACCGTGTTCATACATATACATTAAAAAAAAAGACAAACAAATGTTATTTCCTATTTTTAACTTAAAATTACATTACATTTATTTTACAATATTTATGTTTTTTGAACAAGTTAAATTAGTTTCGCAGCAAAATCCACTACTGAGTACAGTTGCCAACCCATATCTTCGTCACTTCCTGTTCTCAAACAAGAATTACTTTCAATTGAAAACAATATCGTTCAAGTGTGTGCATAATTACCGTATTCAAAACTCTGCTCTGGCATGATAATTAAGCACGAATATACCTTTGTATCTCAGCAGGAACCTTTTAAAAAACTGGTTACGGATCTGTAATGCACTGCTAATGTTTAACCCAGTTACCTTTTCTGTCTAACTTCATTACACATAAATCAAAGGCTGTAATTACACAATATTCCAATCGAATTAAGCCTGAATTACCATGATATGAGAAGAAGTGCAACGTTTAGGGCCACTCAGCTTTGCTCGTAATAATGTCGAAACGGTAAGTGGTAATCTTCATAAATTCTAAACCCAAAATGTATCCTAAGGTGAGTGGGAGTTGGAAACCGGTAAGGGCGTGACTCGTCACATGCAGCTTTTATTTCGTTTTGAGAAAAGTCGTTTGAAAATGTAAGTCACGCGCCTGTTCATCCAATAATTCGGATCTGTGAAGTCACATGTTCCAAGGCTCCAACCGGTCTCGTGGAACATATGTACCCCCGTTCACGTGTACCCACTCGCTTGGACATTAAAAAATCAGTTAGGTACTGGGATTCGAATTTTGATTCGGAATTTGATTTTGATTTTTCGAGTCTGTGAAGTCGCTTTCTGCGACAGTTTTGCCAATTAGAACGAATTAATTTTGCAATTATACGCCACGCACAAACAGGTCTTTGGGTTATTTGGGTTTAATAGGCGGTCAAATCGATTCAGATTCAGGTATTCGCAAATTTATTGTAACGAACAAACCAGAAAAACGCAAAAGAAACAAGTTATGAGTGATACTTGATTTTTTGTCAACCTTTAGTACGCTTTGGATTTGAAAATCGATCAATCCGACAGATACTATTGTATCTGGTGGCCACTTTTTTCCTTGCAACTATGTTGCCCAAACATTTTTGCTGACAGTTAATGTTGTCAGATAATTACAAACTGTTTAGTGATTTGGAAATGCAATCGATTTAGACAGCAGCAAACATTCCTCAAACAAACAACACGAAAAAATACATTAAATGTTCCGCTCGTTTTGGCTTGGGTGCTTTTTTGTGTGTGTGTCAATCTCTCCCATATTGATGGGTGACTTATCCGGGAGTAAATAAATTTATATATATATATATTTTAGCTGAATTTATTAACACTGCCATTTATATAAACATATTTTATTACTTGCTGATCATATCTATTGGGTTTTTTATTTATGACTCAAGAACATGTTTGGTTCGAAAATAATTACTGGCCCGAAACAAATTAATCTGGAGCAGGATTGATATATTTTATTCTTGGAAATTAAAATATCGATCAGGTAAAGACTAAGAGAAAGGTTATTCGGGGCTTTTACTTATTTTATTTGTATTTAAGGCTTAAGCAATGCAAAGTTAATTGAACGGAATTGTTTATATTTAAAGTTACAGCTGACTAATTTTACAAATTCTTGCACAAATTTGCAGCTTTTTAGTTGAGATGCCACTGCATTTGCTAATGTTTTCATATTATTAATAAAAAATACATATTAGGTTTGTGGGGCGCCAAGGCAGACTAAGGTATGTCCCCAATTTTGTACATTACATTATATTGCTCTAGGACGGCCCCCCAAGTTTAATTAATGAAAACAATTAGCCATAACGACGGTCACGCAGAGCCAGTGACACAGAGAGACAGAGCCACAAGTTTGTGGCTCGGTTGCGAAATCCCCCGAAAAACACATTTTCGAAAGAAAAGCTTTCTAGGTCACAGCTGCGTTAGCCACTTAAAAAGGTCGGCGGGTTGCGCGTTTACGATTGCCTCCTGAATGGCAAAGACCAATAACCAATAACATTAGGCACACGTTGAGAGTGCAGTCCCCATCAGATATGCGAGTCCTAGCCAAAAACGTCAACTGTCCGAACATAAATTACATAAAGCATAAGGCATCGCGGCTTTAAACTGGAGCAGAGCGCAGATCCGCGCGGAGCGGAGTGGAGTTTGGCTAAGAAAAAAAAAAAGCCCAGGCAGAGCAGACATTTGATTTACACACTCGCCGATGCGAGTACGAGCACCGTGGAACCAAGCCGAGCCGCGAACCGGCTCCTCCGTGCTCCAACGGCGGCGTCGCTGCTGGCGCCTGCGCTCCAGCGGATTCGGATGCGGACTCGTTATAAAAGGCCCAAATTCAGCGGCAGCGCAGTTAGTTCGCCTTGGGCCTTGCCACAGTTAACCAGTAATCCGATCCGACCTAGGTACGAATATATATATTCGATATAAGCCACGGATTAGCGCCAGCTAAAGCCCTCAATTTGGTGGGCAGGTGCAAAGCAGCGGCTAATTAAACTGTGAATTGATTTCGGACTCGCCACCCTGTAATCGCGAAAACCAACATAATTCAGAGCAATTTGCTCACCTCAGCGTGGAATTCGCGATTGCGCATTCGAAATTGGTGGATTGTAAATACGGTGCCCGAGTATCTGTATCTGTATCTGTATCTCCAGGGTGTATTCACTCAGTTCCCTCCGAGCCCCTTCACCGGAGTCGTTAGCAATAAAAGTGAAAGAACAGCATTGTCTTCGGCAACAAACTGTTGATTAATCGACGGGAGAAAGGATATTCGCTTGGAGCTACAGTGAGTATGGTTTGTCGGGAAAATGCGGTAACGAAATTTAATAGCAGGGAATACGCATGCCAATTTAATCGTCTAAAAAGTCGGACAACAAAATCGCACTAAAATGCCCGAAATGCTCAATAAAAACCCCCTAATAAAAATGGATAAAAAAAGGCATATCATCGTTTTAGAAAGGCAGACTGTTTGTATAACTTTATAATTAAAAATTGTATATTAAAACTAAAATAACAGCAAAGTTTTATGTTCCTATAAATAAACAAGTCATATTTTCGTAATATTTTTCAAGAAAAATTAACCCAGTTAAAAATTTAACTGAACTTATTTGAGGAAAATGTTCTGTTTTTTGTTTATTTTAATTTTTAAATTTAAATTATATTCATGACAAGGGAATTTGCCTAAAAAAACAAATTAGGGATTTGTATACAATTATTTTAAATAGTTTTTAACGTTTGTTTTCAAATGTAATTACTTTTGTCTGCAAATCTCTTAATTTTATTACTTTAAAATAAAGGAAAAAACTTTAAAAATTTCGAAAAACACAGATTTGCATCCAATTGGATTTATTTTTATTTCAAATTTGGCAATGATTGCTTTCAATCATTAAGATTTGGATCAAATGTTAATTAGTTTTATCTGCAGCCCTAAAATCAGTGACCGCAAGGTGCAGCCCAATTCGTTTACAATTTTAAAATTAGGACGGATACATTAGTTAAAATAATATGTAAATAGAAGTTAAAATTTATTTATTTCTTTTGATGGATTTCCACAAACCACAAATTGAGCTCAATATGAATAATTTAAAATTGAAAATTACAGAAAAGCACTTCAAGTTCGATTTGCCAAATTCGCGTTTTTAGTTTAATGATTTCTTCAAGTGCTATTTATTTGAAATTTGTTATTTAAACACAAAAGGCAGCATTGACTCAATTGCTATTTAAATAAAATTAAGGGCACCCACGTGATTTAAAACGACATTACGCATTGGTTTCACCCGAATTATCTTTATCTCTTGACGAAATTGATTTTGAAATGAAATCATTTTTTTTTTTTTTTAATTAATGACCAATTATGAAGCTGAATGGCTGCACGTACTTTAAAGCACATACCAGTTTGCAAGACTGCTCTAAATTACACATTTTAATAAAAATTATGGCCAAAAGCGGTTTTTAAAAACAACCGCTTGAAGCGGTAAACAACAGAGCGCACGTTGCGTCGAAAGTAACAAATGTTTTAATTACAACCAAGACAATTATTTTGAGATCTCCAATGCAAGTGACCTTCAGCTGCCGCCAAAAGGTTTCCAGTCCGCCAAGAAGCCGAACGAACCGAAAGGCCGAAACTACTACCAAAACCACAACGAACAGCACCAGCTGATCGCGGATCACAGATCGGCCTTTGAGTGCCTCGAATTGATTTCTATTTAATGCATTCTCAGTCCGAGTTCGGTGGCTTTGATATAAATCTTGGATCGGATCGGATTGTACAAATATCGGAGCCTGACAGCTGTGATAAATGCCCCAACATGATCGACATTTGCCTTTCCTTTCGTCAGGCCATTAGCTAATTATTCATCTAGAACATTTGAATCCATCACCTGGATCTGGTTTGCATCGAACTGGAGCTTATGTAGCCGGTCTTTACGTGGCGTCTATCACGCCCCGTGGGCTTTACTTTCGCTCTCTCTCTCGATCGGAATCTTAAGCCTGTTATGCAAACGCTTACACACTTTCATATATCCGTAAGATTGTGCGGCTGCATTTGACGACTTGCCTTGCCATTCACCTGCCATGGTGGTGGTCTCCGAGCTGATCCGAGCTGCCATTTAGCTTTAAACCCAGAAGTCATTTACCGCGCGATCTTTGGGACTCGGCGGGTACACATGTAAATATGGGCAGGTGTTGAGTCGCTCGATCTCACATAAAATTAAATAGCTGTATAGGAAATATAATAATGAGACCTACGCTCCGAGTCACGACACCTGCAACCTGCAACAATGGCAGCAGGGATTAGTTTTGGGAACTACAAAGTAGACCAGCCATGAAAGAGGAAAAACAGGCTTACCCGGCAACTTAGTTTAGTTGCACATAATTGGCAGAGTGACACGAATATGCATAATTCACTTCTGGTGTTCAATTAAGCCAGGCCAGGCTGCTAGGCTAATTAGGCCATTGCAGTTACGTATTTGCCGATCGATCCGCTCCAGAATAGCGTGTTTGGGCAGTCGACCCACTGCATACGCATGTTAATGGCTAAAAATAACTCAAAATGTCTTGGGAAATGCACCTGGTTACATGCAAACCGAAAACTAAACTAAGCTTTTACTTACTATTACTTGCTTTCGGAATAATTCGGCTTGCTTGTAAATACAAGGTGCAAATTTGTGTGAGAATTTGTTATCGTAAATAATGTTGTTGGTTTTTCTCTCTCTGTGCTCTGTGTTCACCTAGAGCTGTGGGCGTTACACCTGAGCTTGCCAAATCGTATCGCCTGAAATCGCATTGGGCTTTTTCATGGCAGACAGAGCGGCGCGTGCGCTCCCCACATGGCAGGTGGTGGTGCTGGTGGTTAATGGTTAGACGGGCCAGAACCACAACAGCCAAAACCAAAGCAGCCCAGAAGTGCGGCCAATTAATGCAATTACTTTAGCGAATTAAATAATTGCATAATTAATTAGCCGAGGCGTTTGAGGAATGTGGTTGATGACCATAGACTTTCGAAATAGGCGGGCGACTCAAAGTGGATGCTATTGAAAAATAATAGTAAATTAAATTGTTTTCTTTTCAATATAATTTCTCTTTTTTCTTTTATAAAAATTATAATAAATTTAATAAATGCTTTTAATTTTATTCCAAAAATTTCAGTTCATTTGGAATAATACTAAGAACAATTAAAATTATTCTTTACCTATTATCCATCTATTACTATTTATTGTACATCCATTTGCATATCGAATTTAAAACAATTAAAGAGTCAATTTATATGACTTAATCCCAATTTGCTGTCGGCGAACTCCTAACGATCCATGCCGATCTGAATGCGGGCCGAAGAAAGTGATTTGGGTGCCTCGATTCGGCTTGAACCTGTTTGCCAATTTCACTTCCATTTCCCGGCTTAGCGTGTGGCTACGCCAAGAGCTTCGATGTTGGTCTCGGTATCGGTTTCAAAGTCAAGGTCTCCGTCCCCAAAAAGCAACAACGCTATTGCAACGGTCAACGGCAGTGACGGCAAGTGGCAAACAACAACTGGCAACATGGTCCGTCCATAATTGGCCCCCATTACTACTTCAGTTAGTCCGTAACCGCTCGTCGGTTAGCTGATTCATGGGGCGTCTGTCGTTGGCGGCGGCACGACTTGTTAATGAAACCCGAGATACCAGCCAGTTGAGCGATTATCTCTTGGAGTTTCCTCCGCCACACAGATAGAGTCAAGTCAGATGATTAAAAGAATACTATCTGCACTTGTGACTGTTTTTCGAAGGTATAAAGGTGGTTTAAATTTTTATATATTTTTTAAGATACGCAGATACATTTTGTAAATATTTTAAATAATGTATCTTGGAAATATATTCGGTATTTATAGTTTCTCAAGGAACATTTTCTCCTGAAATTTATATACATATACCTTCAAAATCAAGTTGAATTTTATAATCGGATAATCCCATCCAAGAAGGTCGAAATAATTGTGTGGGAAATGCAATTCGCCATGGGGATTGCGTGAAAGCATATATCCAGAAAAACGAGCCGACATTGCAGTAACACAAATGCCACTCTGTGGCTTTACTTTTATAATAATGAAGAAATTGTTTCTCGCGTGCCCCACGAATTGTCTTTGGACACTTCCGTTTTCGTACATAAATTATTGCAATAGTCTTTACATATATCCGTACTGCCGCTGGATCTGCTCTGGTTGGCATTGTCACTGCCGTATTTTGCGTGTTAACCGGACCAACGTAATTACATTAGACTTAATTGCCAGCCTGCAAGTCGTCGGTTCAATATTCAACCAGGTAGCGGATCGCAAAACCGTGTCTCTTGTCTGTATTTCTTGGGTTTACATGACATGACACTGGGCCTAATTAGTCGAGTGTGTGTTTGTCTCACGTCGTTCGCACGAGAGTGCATCACGTTTGGATCTTCATTTCGCAGCCATCACTCATCAGCCCGAAAAGGAAACTTGAAGCCACTTGCCGACGGACTGATTAAAATGTTATGGCTAAATACTCTCGACAAGCAAATCTATTAACAGCTAATAAACACGAATGTTTTTTTTTTTTTAATTTTCTGGAATTTAACTGTGTTTTTGTGTTGTATTTAAAAAAATAATGAAAACAGGCTTATTCCTTTTCAAGTAATTGTCATTTCAAGTTATTTTCATAGAACGTGAACCTATCTGCTGTAAATCAAGTCAATTAAATGTGTTAATCCATTTAGCAACAACAAAAGTTAGACGACCTCCTGGCGAGGTGATTTTGCTTAGCTTGCAATTGTTATAAATTTTTATAACATTTCAGAGGGTATTATAATTTTAATTGAATGCTGGCAACGCAGTAATTCCAAACCTATAAATCGTATATAATATTCTTATTCAGGATCATTTGAATTAAATTTTAAAATAATTAAGCTTTCAGAGTGGAAATTAATGCCCCTGATCCCATTTCAAACAGCAAGGGTATACCAACTGCGGCTTCAATTAGCTTCTCTTCTTGTTATTTAAATAAAATCGTATACTTTTTATTATTTTATTTTGCATTTTCCTTGAAAACAATATAAAATATGGAAATAAGAGCATAAAATGCCATTTAATAATTAAAATTGTTCTAGTTTTAAACCAGTAGCTCGTTACAACTCTTTAAGAAATGCGGCTGCCGGGAAAATTCTCAGCATATGACTGTATTTTTTATGTTTTTGTGTTATATAATTAAAAGTAAGTCAGCAGCGACCTGGGGTTCCGCGAGACAGACCCAGAGACCTACTGTGCTGCAGCATTGGAGTCGTGATATG